GTTTCGAAAAGTTCTGCAATTTAAATTGCTTCTCTAAAATGCCGTTCTCCTATTCATAAGGCGACGACGGTACAAAAAACTGTAAAGCGATTTGAGAAATCTGAAGAAGGTAAAGACAGATGGAAAGAGAAAAGTTTTGTTGAAGATCCACATACATCCTCAGGCAGGTTTGTGCAAGTACATGATGTAGGTCGTTCTTCAGTCTTACGTATATTACGTAAAAATAAGTTTAAACTATACAAAGTAAACTTATTGCAAGAATTAAGTGAAGATGACTTCGATCTTAGATTAGAGTTTACTGAGGTAATGATGGATAAAATTGAAGATTATTAAAATTTCGTTAACAGAATATGTTTTCCGATGAAGCAATCTTTACACTGTGTGGAAATGTAAATCGACACTATTTAAGGTACTGGAGTGACGCAAATTCACACTGAATGCGTGAAAACCATACTCAAAGACCACAAAAATTAAATGTATCGTCAAGTATAGTAGGTACTCAGTCAATTGGGACATTTTTTATCGAAAAAAATTTAACGTCAGATAGTTGGTGTAAATGTTCGGCGTTATTTAGATGAGATATTTCCCAGACGATAATTGGTAGACAAGGTAGAATTGAATATCCTTCACGTTCACCCGATTTCAATCATAAAGATTATTTTTATTAGGATACTTGAAAAATTCAGTTTACAAAACTTAACCAGCAAGTCTTGCAGCGCTAAGGCAACGAATTATCAATGAATCTCGAATTGTTTCTAGACCATCATGGAGAAATGTAAAAGACGCATTCTACCATCGATTAGGGTACTGTCAACTCATAAATTGAGCACATTTTGAACACTTAATAACGTAACTATTGTTAAAAAATGTTTTAATCTATCAATTGTTACGTTTTCATGTAGTTGAAAATATTTAGTATTAAAAAAATTATTGAAACAATTAGGCGTTGCCAGACTTGTGTTTTATGTATTAAAGACCTTTCAGACTACATAAAATCATAAGTGTTACATATGGTTGAACTCGTATTGAATAGGAGATTCCAATAATGACTAAATATACAGGGTGATGCATTTAAAAAACCAAAGTTACTAATAATATAAGAGAAACGCAAAATCTGGCAACATTGCAAATATCAATTATGGAATCTCCGTATTCCAAAATAGGTGTACCTCAAATTTTGTACAATTATAACTAGCAATTTACGAGATAATTGGCCGTTTCCAGACTTTTGGGCCACTCTGTATTTACCTCTAGAAATATAGATATTTATATTCACTTTTGATGATGAACCATTTGATTTAGGTATGGCCTGGGATTAATTTTATTCAGTTTATATGGAGAAGTACCATCTTGCCATTCAAAAAGTCAGCTAATTCCATAAAAATTACTTTAACATTACTTGCTGGATTTGCTACTGCATCCGAAAAGTCTTTAAGATCATATATTTTACCCATTTGCTTCATGGAGCGTTCTACTTTGTGGTGGAATGAGTCCGCAGCCATGAAGGTATGGCCAGGCTCAAAATACTTAATACTTAATTTTTCAAGTGCGATATCCTCAGAGTTTACAATAAACGTAAAGAAAGTAAACAAAGCCCAGTTTTTATTTTGAGCACAGCAATTGTCAAGTCCCTTCCAAAAACTAAGGGAGCAAAGAAGTGTGGTGATTTCAGACTTATTAGTTTAATGTCGCATATGTTAAAGTTATTCTTGAAAGTTATTCACCAACGCATTTATAAGACATGTGAACAGGATATCAGTGATGAACAATTTGGCTTCCGAAATGGATTTGGGACACGGGAAGCATTAACCAGTTTTATTATACTGCTGCAAAAATGTCGAGACCAAAAAAAGGACCTCTTTTTATGTTTTATTGACTATCAAAAGGCCACCGACAAAGTAAAACATGATAAGCTGATGGATTGCCTTCACAAAAAGGGACTAGACGAGAACGATTTTAAAATTATCCAAACGCTGTATTTTAACCAAACTGCAGCAGTTAGAACAGAAGCCGGTGACACAGAAATATTCAATATCAAGCGAGGTGTACGACAGGGGTGTGTATTGTCACCACTACTTTTCAATATATATTCGGAAGAAATCTTTGCACGAGCACTAGAGCAATCAAGAGAAGGTGTTAAAATTAACGGCAGAGTTCTAAATAATGTACGATACGCCGACGACACGGTCCTAATTGCAGAGAGCGCACAGGATCTCCAGACACACTTAGATCGCGTCAGATCGATCGGAGAACAATACGGCCTCAGCATTAACGTCAAGAAAACGAAAACAATGATTGTCTCCAAAACATCCATCCATCCACCCATGGCTTTAAACGTGAATGGTAACATTATCGAAAATGTCGAGAAATTTCGATATCTAGGGTGCTGGATAACGAAAGATATAGATCCAGACATAGAAATAAAATCGCGAATTGAACAAGCAAGAAATATCTTTTTAAAAATGAAACAAATGTTTATGTCCCAAACACTCAATCTCAAAATCCGATACCGAATGCTGAAATGTTACGTTTACAGCACCTTACTATATGGAATGGAGGCCTGGACCTTCAAAATCAACTCACTCAGGCGTTTGGAAAGTTTTGAAATGTGGTTATTTCGAAGGATGCTGAAAGTTCCCTGGACAGCGCATATGAGCAACGAGCAGGTCCTACACAAGATGGGTACCGACAGAGAACTCTTAAAAATAATGAAAACACGGAGAACCTCATATTTGGGACACATATACAGAAATGAGAAATACCAGCTACTACAGCTTCTTATAGAGGGGAAGGTAGAAGGAAAACGTGGTCCTGGTAGACGGCAGGCGTCCTGGTTGAAGAACATTCGTGAGTGGACTGGTTTGGATTCTCAATCTTTAATAAGAAAAGCCAGGGACAGAAATGATTTTGCTGAGGTTATCGCCAACCTTCATTGAAGACGGCACCCAAAGAAGAAGAATTGTCAAGCCACATTATAACATTTTTAGCGTCTCGGTGAGACAAAAAAAAAATTATAGAATGTGCTGGCAATATCCGACTTACTCCGTCCGGCTATTCGACAGTGACGACAAAACTTTCATTAAAAGCAATAATTCTAGGTGTAAAAATAATCTCAAACCTATCCATTCTCGGAAGCAATATGACCTAGAATATCATATCAAAATAAAACATTTATAATTAATATAATATTTTATTACCTTTTGAAAATCCGCTGAAACTACCATTGTTGTATCGTCCCAGTTACTTTTTGCAGACGAGTCAGTTTGATATTCTGATCTGGCAGCAGTGTATTTATTTTGATGTAGACCAAAGTTGGTGCATTCCTCACAATTATCCACCAATGCATCCTTTTTGTGAGACGTGGATTTTGAATGCAAGTCAAATGATTCACACAACCAGCACTCTTCGTGTCCTAATTTCACAATGAAATATTTAAAGTTGCGACAACTTCTCGATATAAATAATACGAAAACTTGATATTTAGATAATTTTCAATAAAATTCTGGTACATTATTTTTATTGTGATGTCACTGGGAAGATAACGTCGTTCTGGTGCGTGTTCCCGACAGTAGTGTGGTTCTATGGGTTTGAAAGATTCTATATGTTCTTTAATAACATTTCGATCTATTTTAATTTTTCCTGTCTTTCCTTGTTTATTCCTGTTGACCGTTACTTTTGAATTTGTTTTAGTAAGGGCATCTCTAATAACTCATTTTTTTTTCATATCCCAGCCTTCTCATAAAAATATTTTGCAGACACTTTGTTTTCATCCGTTATTGTCTTTAAAAAAATATAAAAAACTTTTCGATCTTCTAGACACAACACTAGCTGTGGTTTTGGTTACTTGTTTAGATGCGTTATTAAAAATAAAATTGTTCTATTCGTCTTTTTGCAATTTCCAAAATTCTTCATTTATTTCTGTTCGTCTACCTTCTGTAATTTTTTCGGAACATCTTCTCTTACAAGAGATGCATGATAGTTTTACACCATGCTGAGCAATTGTGGCTGTTAATTTTCTTTTTTTTTTCCTCATTGTTAGGCTCTCTTTGTATTTCTTTCGTTTACGGATTTACCCTGTTTTAGTTAAATTGTCTTTTTTTCCGCCCTTTCAATAGATACATATATTATATCTACCAAGATTTTTTGAATAAAAAGGACTTACCTTCTTCTTCACCTTTCTAATTAGATTCTTCAGGAACCACATTTGCAGCTCTCAAAGTTATGTCACTAATAATCTTCACTTTATTTAAACCTTTTCTGTTTAATTTTGGTTCCTCAATTTCTTCCGTCACTGAATCTGACAAAATAAAATCGGGATCATTGTCATGCTGAAGTTTAGGTTTCTTCATGACACGTCGTAAACTATGTATTTTCTCCGTTTGTTGGTTACCATTGTTACTGGTTCGGTTAATAAACTTTAATGTAAACACACTTAAAAACACTATAACAATAAGATTAATACTAGTAAATAAATGAAAATCCGATACGCCGAATAACGCTTACAACCGTTTAATTTTTAGGTATTTTAAGAAACTAAAAAGGCGGGAACACTATTAATGATTAGGTTAGATCTTCCTGTTGTTAAAATATTTTGTCGAAACTACACAATTGTTAAGCAAATTTGTCGTAACTACAAATCGTCTTGTGAAGATACGACTAAAAATGTTAACAAATGGAGATTCGACAAATTGGCTTAACATAAACTGTAAAAATGCAGATCCGACAAAATTTTAAAGTGGAATAACTTATTTTTAAACAGCAGATAGGTCTTTCATTCTTAACATATAGGTAGATTATTTGGTTATCGATGTGTTGGCGTTATAACCTCAAAAAAACTCAAAATACGACTTCTATTCTTAACAGGGAACTATTGTATATCATAAAAATAAAGCTAATAAAATTACATATTTCATTTTGCTTGATCACGATTATGAACATTAACTAGTAATCTTATAAATTATAAAAAAAATAATTTAACATTATTTATTATAAATACATACCTAAAACCCTGGAAAAGAAATTATGGACATTAATCTTCGGATGATTTTCGATAAACATCCATGCCTTAAGAACATTCTTTTTTTGCGCGCTGCTTAAATCCCTAGCAAAAGACTTCTTATTCGGCGTAGAGTAAGTGATATGTAGAAAATTTTCCAGCTCGATAAGTTTTTCAATAAGCGTAATGATATCTGCGCATCTCCTCGTTTTTCCTTTAGTCAGCATCATGTAATCGCGAAGTTTCTTAAAAGGAGCAATGACATTTTCGTTGATACGATTCTCCAGTCTGTGGACGCAGAAAAGATCGGGAGTCACTTTGTCTATCCATTCTGTTTGTACGTGGTTAAATAAATTGAGAGTTAACGCCTCGATCTTCAAATCGATGGCTTGGGTTTGGATGTTATTAAAAGCATCAACTATGGTGTTTACGGGAAGCAACGGCAGCATCAATATTAAATGATAAATGTTTCTGAAAAAGTTGTTGGTTTCCAGATCTTTGGCTAAGTTGAGGGAACATATTTTTTTGTAGATGTTTTGAGTGAAGTAGAAGACCGACCCTCCTATACTGGAATCTACGTAAATTTCACCCAGGGCGTAATAAAGATTTGCTTCGTATTCAGTTACTATTTCATCGGGTCTCAATTTTGGAGCTAATGAATCATGAAGATATTCAAATATCTTTTTGTAGATCTCTTGGGTTTTGTAATTAACTATTGCATACATGATGGGATAGTACTAAAAATTAAATAGTTATTGTTAGTAACGAAGTAAACAAGAAGTTAATTTAGCAAACAATTAATTTAAACTATATAAAAACTAAGGATATTTGTATGTCTTAGATATCTTAAGATAATATATTATTTTAAAAATGTAAATGATGTTTCATGTAGAAGTAGAACTCATTCTAATGAAACTAAATTACGAGTAAAGCTCTTCAGGAAAAGGTTTAAAACTTAGTAGGACAAAAACAGCCCCCGTGTAGGGTACGGGCCACCCAAGAAGAATATCCCCAGCGTTTTTCCTGTTTGTTGTAAAATACAACTGAATGGAGCAGCACTCCTGCTGTCCTAAATCCTAATTCCTATTCCGCAACCCCTGACCAAACAAGGGCGGTGTAACACTAACCTAACACATAACATAACACCATTGACCTAGAGGAAATGCCTAGCTACTAAAAACCGAGGCTGGTTCAGAAGCTATAGCCAGTAGCCCTGACACTGAACTCGGGTGTAATAGGCCGATAACCTGTTCACTGTAAACTCAGCTATTATAAATGTTATAAACAACGTTCAACAACATCGAAGAAGTTAAGAACAAAGCTACGGAATAAGGGCTTAATGATGAAATTGCTAGTGGAAAACTGGAATGTCCAAACCATGCTACAGGCAGGCAAAATGCAAAGTTTTGTCCAGGAGCTGCAGAAATAAGAAGTAGACATAGCCGCTTTCCAAGAAATCAGATTTACATGGCATCGTGCACAAATAAAAAAGACTACAGCTTTTACTAACTACTGTTGAGCAGAAAGATAAGAAGACTTTGGAGTGAGTTTTATGGTAAACCATAAATACCGCTGGTCGACATTGGGTCTCACTCAAGTTAATAAAAGAATATGTAAAATACGTCTAAGGAGTAAATTTCATAATATTCCAATTATTAATATCCATGCCTCAACAAAAATAGCAGATGAAGTAGTAACCAATCAATTCTACGACCAACTACAAATAGAATGTGAAAACTTGGAAAAGGGAGATATGGTTATAGTATTGGGTGATATGCATGCCAAGTTAGAAGCCAATAGAAAGTAGAAAAACAGACAATATATGCAGAATCCTTTGGTAAGCATAGTTTATATATTACCAGCAACAATGTTATTGGGACCATGCAAGTTCGGAAGAGCGACATCTGCTGTCGTAAATCAGCAAAATTTACTGCGCTTTCATGTTAGATCGAGGTTACCGGATAACTGTCAAGGACGTAGCCCCAAAAAAAGAATAAGAAAAAAAAGTAAGATTGAGGTTATGTCGGTATGTTATTAAAAGGTAAACGTTGTATGTAGTGTAAATACAAATAAATATATTATTAAATTACAGCATTACTGTTAATATGGATGCAATAATAAAACTGGATTTCAGAAAGTAAATCACCAAATAACTGTTTAACAATTTTTTGTTGTATTTTTACAATTTATAACACAGCAATTACTAAATCCCATTTTCTTCAGTGATAGAAGGTGTAAATAAACAAACGAATATGAAATATGACAATTTGCCAATTGACAATATGAATTTATGAAATCTATGAAATGTGCAGTAAAAAATGCAAGAATTCTCCGCTACTCGCGCACGATCGTTTCTTGTATCACATCCAAGTACTTGCACGTCGCCAATAAGAGTGGCACAGTTGGCAATGGCAAATAAACTTATACTTAGAGCGTGTTTCCCCCAAAAAAATATTCATAAACTAACCTAAATACCTGGTACTAATAAATTAATCAAAGTGGTCATATAATAGACTGTTCAATAAGTTTAGCGGTTTGATAAGAGAGGGCGTTGCTACCGGCCTAATTTTTTTGTTATGTTGGTACATTCCGCATATGAATGTATGAGAAGTTTCATTTTAATCTGTCAACTCATTCTTTGTTTACACGCCATTTACGAGTAATATCGAGCAGTAAATGAAGAGTCAACAAAAGAATGGAAATATTGGAAACCATTAGGACACGAAAGCTGTAATACCTGGGGCATGTTATGCGTAATGAAAGATACAGCATACTTCAATTAATTATACATGGTTGCGTAACTTGAGGGATTGGTATAGATGCACATCAATCGAACTATTCAGAGCGTCAGCATCTAAGATCTAAATACCCATGATGATTTCCAACCTCCGTCGCGGAGATGGCACGTAAAGAAGAAGGAAAACATTAGGCGAAACCTCAAGCAAAAGAAACGAGGAATGGTTTGACCAAGATTGCCAACAAGAAATAAATAGCAAAATACAGCTAGGCAAATATGTCTACAAAGGAATTCCAATTAAATAGAAGGGCATATGAAGAACTAAAAAGGGTGCAAGGAGAATATGTTGAACGAAAAAGAGAAAAATTTTAAATAGAAAAATATCACAAATTACAGACTTTAACTGAAGAGAGACTAGGAAATTTTACAAGGAAACCAAGCGTTACATTTAAGAACATATGAAAAAAACAACAGTGTGCAAGAACAAAAACGGAGCAATTATCAGCGAGAAAGAGGAACTAATGAAAAGGTGGAAGGAGCATTTTGAAGAGTTCTAAACCCAGAAAAAGAACAAAACCAAGAAGAAGAAATAATTCATCACACAGCAGAACAACTGCTTAGGGAACCAACATTAAAAGAAACTATATACGTCATAAAAAATCTAAAAAATAACCGCCAATTGCCAAAGTCGAAGAAGGTTGCTACAGATTTGAACGTGACCGTTGATATGTGCATATGGAAAATCAAACAAAGAAGAGATCATTTTCACTCTATAGCATGGTTGGTGGTTCAAGAGGGCAGAAGATCTCCATGGGGCAACAAGATGTGGTGTTAGTAGATTATCTGAGAGAAGCTCCTTTTGACGCAGCTCGAAGGGCTAGCGAAGAGACAGCGTTTCCGAGCAACGTTTTCGGATAGCACAAGAGGAGATGAGTTGCATTTTGTAATGAATTCATAAACTGTGAAGACAACTCTTGCTCTAATGTTGCATTTTCCGAAAAAGTGTTTCAGTCATATGGTAACAGTCGAACAAGAGGTCGAGGAATCATAGGTTTGATGAACAATATACTCATCATTTAAGAAATGGTGAAGGATTCTCGGTCAACGTATGGGGATGGATTAGTACTGAAGGCCCGGGAGTTTATCCTCATATAGAAAAAAACTAACAGGATTATATTACAAACATTCTCCAAGAACAACTTCATGTTCCATCATGACAATTGCCCGGTGTATACGAGTAGAATTGTTCGAGAATGGTTAGCAGTTAGCAATGTTAGTATTCTTCCGTGCCTTCCCGGAGTCCAGACCATAACTCCATCAAAAATGTGTGGACAGAGTTGACAAATAAATTAAATTAAAGAAACCTTAGGCCACGGAATAGAATTGCATTCAGGGAAAGCAATTAAGCAGGCATGGGAGGAGTTTGAAGATCACTGATGTAAAATGATGGCAATAACAAACTGAACAAAAGTATTGAATATAAATATAAACATTGAATAAGGTAGAAGTTATAATTAATTTTGAAATGGTACAAAAATGTTTTGATGTTTATCTGATCAAAAATTTGTTGATGGCAGCAGTCTTGATCATATAAAAATCACCTCGTTTTTTACCAACCAAAATTTTCAAAGGCCACTACTTGAAAGTTTACATACCGACAAGAGACAATTTGAAATAAAAATATAGAAGCAGAAATTGTCAAATGAGCATGTATCTGTCTGTTTTAAATTTGGATGTTGATACAAAGTGGTAAGTCATAAATGCAGTGTTAGATTCAAATTAGAATAACACACTATTGGTGTACAAAACTTACCTAAAAGTAGCAAATTGGAAATATCACACAGAGTTTGTATATTAGCCAGTATCTGCCACTAGCTATTTATTTTTATATCTGTATGAACGTAATCAATAGTTTACTTTAGTGTACTACTTAGATTTTAAAGAGAAGCACAAGAGTTACAAAAGAAAGCAATTTCATACACATATACTCTAGCAAATAATTAAATTAGTCATCCAAAGTCACACGTCTTTACTGGTCAAGAATACTCGAAATCACGTGTCATGAATTCTCGGAAATTTTGAATTGGATCATTGGCGGCGTTTAATAAATGTTTACTTGCTGGTCACTTTACATCACATTGTAGCAATATAATATATTTCTGCTTATAATATATAAACTACTGTCAGTCAAGTTTAGTATTGTTCTGTATGTAAGAAGGAATAAAGTATAAATGTTGATAGCCAGACGTTTATTGGTGCATATTTCCTAAAGTACATATTTCCTTGTCTCTTGATGTTTTCAAACTAGAAGGAGGACTTCACTTAACTTAAATTATAACAGGTTATGGGCCCAATCCACGTGTGAACTGCGAACAGTGTAGGTTCGTACTTCATTCAGTTTTGTTTTTTGTTATTATCGGTGAATAAAATATAACGACCAGCAATAACGATTATAAAATTCAAGTTGACAAACTCGAGAGTCCTGAAGACTGGGCAAAGTGGAAATGGCACGTTTGATGATATTACGTTCGTATGCACTTAAAGACATTGTAAACGGTATGTGTAAGTGTCCTGAGGTTAGTGAAGATTCAACTTCAGTGGAAATACAGAAGCATCAGCAATGGTTAAAAGACGATGCGAAAGCGGTAAGTTTGTTAGCAGGTACGCTAGGAAAAACTGTTGCCGAGCTCGTGTTGACGCTAGTGAAATATGGGACAAATTGCGTGCGAGATTTGAACGTAGCAGTACGCAACGGTTATACCTGTTAATTGAAGCCTTTTTTAGAGTCCAACGTGATGAAAAAGAAGATATTAGTACACATGTTGCGAAGTTGCAGAAACTGTTTGTAGATGAAACGATGAAAATGTTTTATCCGAAAGAATGTTAAATGGTCGGATCTTATCAACTTTGGGTAAGGACTGATAATTTCAAAGATTTGTGGGACACGATACCATCACAGAATCAAACTTTAAATTTACTGATTGAGAAATTGTGTACCATTGAATTACGTGACCAAAGTACTGTAGAATCTTTTGCGTTTATTGTACGCAATAGCCCGACAGAAAAATACAATCAGAACCAAAGTATGAAGTCAAAGAAAAATGTACATCGTGCAAAAAAAAAATTCCATGTCATAAATGCAAAAAATTAGGCCATTGACGAAAGAGTGTCCGTTGAAAAAATTAGCTGAGAATTTAGGTAAGAATAAAAGTAATGATACTGATTTTTTGTCTGTTGTTTTAAGTGCCTCATCTAACAATTGTATTGAAGCTGGAAAATTGGTTTGTGACAGTGGAGCCACAAATCATATCACTACAGATAAGCAATATTTCTCATCTTATACAGAATTTGCTGAACCAGAAAGTATATCACTTGGTAAGAAGGATGTATGTATGTTAGCCCATGGACAAGGAACAGTGAAAATTCAAACGCATCTGAATAATAAATGGAAAGATGCTGACTTGAAGAATGTTTTTTATGTTCCTGAATCAAGTGCTTATTTGTTTTCTGTAAAAGCTGCTGCACAAAGGGGTTTAATTACAGTACTTGATGAAAAAGGTGTAGGAAAGCCAATTAGAAGTTTGAAACATTTAAGAATATTTGGCACTGACTGTTATGTTCACGTTAACAAGAATCTTCGTAGTAAATTTGATGACAAGGCGATACATGGTTATTTAGTTGGTTATGTGAATGACAGGGATGATTTTAGGATATGGATTCTATCTGAAAGAAGAATCTTATCGAGCCGCGACGTACCATTTAAACCTGAGGTTATATACAATTTGCGAATTGTTGAAGTTAAAGCCAAATCAGTGAACCAACATCAGTCGGAATGTTTTAGTGTGAATGAAAACTCCGTAGAAGTAAAAAGTGGTATCGGTTCAAAGACAAAGTGGATGGTAGTTGGAAAGATCAATATAGATCAAGGTCTGATTTCTCTTAATGGAGAGGAGATCGAAAGGGTAAATCATTTCAAATACCTTGGTAACGGGTTAAATGTAAATTGTGACTCTGATGAAGAGATAATAACCAGGATCGAAATATCACGTAAGGCTTTTATGACGTGGAAACCAGTTTTATGCAACAGAAACCTGTCGATGAATATTCGTAAGAAGGTCCTGAAATGTTATGTGTGGTCCATCCTATTGTATGGTTGTGAGACATGGACGTTAAAAACTACAATGCTAAACAAGTTAGAAGCATTCGAATTGTGGTGCTATAGACGAATCCTAAAGATATCGTGGGTTTCGCACACTTCCAATGAAGATGTTCTTCAAATGATCAATTCAGAACGTCTGCTCATAAACACCATAAAGAGAAGAAAAACAGAATACTTCGGCCATATAATTAGAGGACCTAAATACCATCTACTTCGCCTTATAATACAAGAAAAAGTGAAAGGAAAGAGATGGATTGGTCGAAAGAAACTTTCATGGCTGCGTAATATTAGACAATGGTGTGGTTCCACAGTAAAAGAATTATTTCACGCAGCAGCCAACAGAGAAAGGTTTCAGGAAATTGTAAACATGATGACGGCCAACGTCTGAATACCGACACGGCACCCAAAGAAGAAGAAGATATCAGAATTTGAATTTAAAATAATGTTTATTTTGTTAAGGTCTATTATTTTTCTTACCAACTTTTCATGTTGAGGGAGAATGTTAGATATCCAACATAAAAAGTGGATGTTCTTCTATATGAAGTGACATTGTTGACAGTTCAATGAGTAATATCAAAAATAAGTTATAAACTACTGTCAGTCAAGTTTTGTATTGTTCTGTATGTAAGAAGGAATAAAGTATAAATGTTGATAGCCCGACGTCCATTGGTGCATATTTCCTAAAGTACATATTTCCTTGTCTCTTGATGTCTTCAAACTAGAAGGAGGACTTCACCTAACTTAAATTATAACAATGTGTTCTTATTGTATGCTAAATAAAAAAATAAATAATTCTCCACTACTGACACGCTTCCTGGTAAAAGTCAGAGGGACAGCTAAACGATACCATAAACTTGATTGATCAAGCGTATGACTCATTTCATTTTTTATTTGCTGGAGTAATTAAGGAACAAAAAGAATGTGATGAGTAAGAATATTTCTGTAAGAATGAACTAGTAGTTAATCATGAACAGTGTAATTAATTAATTAATTAGTCAACTAAACTTACACTGTGTTCTACCCAAACTAGCACAGTCACCAATTGATAAGAAAACGGCTCGTCAGTCTCGATCCTGAAAGAAGCGTCGATGTACATCAAATCACTTTCAGATAGCATTTGTATAGTATCCAAATTAGCGAAAACTATAGCTTTCGCGTTATCTTCGGATGTAAACTTCTCTTGGTAGAATTGAATGCCGTTGTTGGTGAACTGTAATTTATAATAAGAATCATCTTCGATTTGATTGTAGAGTTCGTCGAAGCTTTGTATAGGAGACGTTTTGTGTGGAGGAACCTGATGCCGGCAAATTTCATTTACGACATTACGTAATGGAATCAGCTTTTGGATGTGAGGGTCTCTATAACAAAAAAAAACTACTTTATTTTCATCATTAATATTCAACTTCTGGAGTTCGTACAAGATTTTTTAACCCATTAATGCCCACCGTCATGAAAGAAAAACTGAAAATACCTAAATCCTTTAGTAGGTGCTTTTAATTATGATCATAATTATATAAAAAAATATTTTGTACATTTTTTAAATTTAGTTTAAAAAAAATGGCGTACCCAATCAGGTACACTCGGACAATCAGTATAAATAATATAAAACAAAGTACATAATCAATAAGAAAATTGAACATAAATATGCATATAGACCAAGGAAACATGTAATAAAAACACATACATATACATAAAAAACACATAATTAATTATGAGTGAAATATTTTGAAACACTCTCTGCCCAGTGCAAAGAGTTAAATTGCATTTTTCACACATTCATCTAACTTTCATATGGCATTGGCGACATCTTCGAGGGTTCGTGGTTCTTTTAGACCACCAGGAATATCAAGTATACTCTTTGACAGCGAACCAAATGGTTTGGTATCTTTGTATGGCTTTGTTAAAAGCTCTGCAGTAGAGGCCGACAATATTTCTTTGAAATAGTAGCAAATCTATTGCAAAACTGACACATTTATCATATGGGTAAAGAGTACCCATCACCATTTTTTTCCATGGATACCGATTCTGTAATTATTTACCCCTTGATAGAATAAGTCCACAGCCCCCATTGTTACATTGTAGAATTTGAATAACTAAAGTTGTTAAATTTCTTCTTTTTCTTTCTGTTTTGCACACCAATGCTTCACTTGTGCAAGAGGCTCTATGGTATCGTAATTGGTACACTTGGTTACAGCACTGTTGTCGTTCCATCTTACAAATACTTTCTTGATCGTAGCAAAGGTCATAATATCTACGATCTTTTCTCTACATCTCTTTGTCTTGTATAAGAGGACATTTTTGATATGATTATCACGAACTGTACCCGTAGCTTCCATTGGTATCAGTCATGCTTGTATTCCATACTCCATTAAGGACCTCCTGGCTTCTTCAATAAGTTCTTTTTTGAAAGTTTGTTAGCCATCAGTTCCCTCTTTGATAATTTTATTCGTTTGGACAGTGGAATGACATCATCTATTTCATCCGTGTCATCTCCATTATCAAAATCATCATAGTAGGATCATCCATCGTTCTATAGTCATCCTCATCTTCGGACTCGTCAATAATGACCTCGAGTTCCCCAGGAACATCGTTAGGAATTTGGGTTGTTATCAAATCATCTTCATCAAACTCCTCCTCATCCGTTTGATAGTCAACATTATTTGGTGGAATTATCATCAAATCCCTGGCCCTAAATCAACTTAAAACGAATAAATGTCCGGGAGAGGATAAGATTACAGTTGAAATGTTGAAAATTGGTGGCAGAAAAATGGAACAGGTATTAAATGTTTTATTTAATAAAGTAATTGATGAAGGAAAGATTCCTCAAGAATGGTACAACTCCGAGGTCATTTTACTATTCAAGAAAGGAAACAGAGCAAACATCGAGAATTACCGACCAATATCCTTGCTATCACATCTGTATAAATTACTAACTAAAATCATAACCAACCGCCTAACACATAAGCTCGATTTCTATCAACCTATCGAGCAGGCTGGATTCAGAAAACATTTTAATACCATAGACCACTTGCACACCGTAAGAACACTGATAGAAAAATGCACCGAGTATAATGTTCCAGTTCATATGGCGTTCGTCGATTTCCATAAAGCATTCGATTCCATCGAATTATGGGCAGTGCTTGAATCTCTAGAAAATGCACGCATAGATTCAAGATACATTAACATAATTAAAAACATATATGAAAATGCCACCATGCATATAAAGCTGGACGAAAGCACAAAAACTAATCCCATAAGACTACAACGGGGAGTAAGTCAAGGAGACACCATCTCTCCCAAACTATTTACCCTTGCTCTAGAAGATATTTTTAAGAAACTGGAATGGAACAATAAGGGTATCAACATCGACGGATCATACTTAAACCATTTTAGATTCGCAGATGACATAGTTTTAATAGCCGATAATATCCAAGAACTAAATGATATGTTACAACAATTAAATGCAGTTTCAGGAGCGGTAGGCTTAAAAATGAATTACAGCAAAACAAAAATACTGAGCCGAGACCAGACAAATATAACAATACAAAATCATACCATAGAAAATGTGGAACATTATGTATATCTAGGTCATGTTATCAAACTAGGAAAACCAAATCAAGATGCTGAAATTAACAGAAGAACACAACTGGCTTGGGGCGCTTTCGGCAAACTAGCACATATCTTGAAAAACACCTCCATTCCTATAAACTTAAAGAAAAAGGTGTATAACACATGCATACTACCTGTTTGTACCTACGGCTGGGAGACAGTAGCACTTACCAAAAAATCTGCCAAAAAATTAGAAACAACGCAAAGAGCAATGGAACGAATCATGCTTGGAATATTACTAAGAGACAAGATTAGAACCACCGAGATAAGACGTAGAACGAAGATTAGGGATATTGTGGAAGAAATTACAAAAATGAAATGGCGCTGGGTAGGTCACGTAGCCCGATATAATGACAACAGGTGGACACGGAGAATTCTAGAATGGAGACCAAGGACGACAACAAGAAGCATGGGAAGACCTCAAAAAAGATGGGTAGATGATATAAGAGCAGTGGCAGGCAAACAGTGGATTAGATTGGCGCAAGATAGAGAAAGATGGAAGCAATTGGGAGAGACCTACATTCAGGAGTGGATGGAAAACGGTTGACATGGTTGACAAAGAAGAGAAGACCATCAAATCTATCTCTGCACTATTGATAATATATACACTTTCTATATTATTTACAGCTGCTGCAAGCGTTTGATACCCTTTTCCATAAAATGCAGACGTAATTATCTCAGGAAGATTAGTGTCCCAGACATTAAGATTTTCAACCACAGATAGCGTCAGTAGAAAATTATATTTGCCTTACACGTACAGGTACGCTGGGAGTTAATAACACGCTTTCTTTGATATTTCTTATTGATATAACATACTACTATACTCAAAGTAAGAAAATATTTACTAAGAAAATGGTTAATAATTACCTAGCACAAATATCGTCATAAACATGTTTAAATTTCAATGTTTTATCGCTCTGCATTTTTCTTTTCATCACGTAGAAAAACATTTGCTTCGTCTGTTCCGCTTCATTAGGTGGACTGTGATTGTGGGCCACATAAATATGTACTTCCTTATTATACGTGAAGGATCCTTCTGGTTTCTCCTGCAAACCCTGAGCGGAGCACGATGGTAGAAGACATCTAATTTTTCTAAAAGATAACAGATAATATCAGTTAAGTCAATCTAAATTACAAATAGTATGAATCAATAAATTTTAAAAATAATGGACAATACACGTAATATTACAGAAAATATCAGGGTTTAACCAGTTTCTACGTGGTAAGAATTAGCGAGAAATCGTTAAAATATATTATACAGGGTGTTTCACTAATCTGCGTAAATATTTAACTAAAGCTTTTTTAAGTATTCGCGTATTTTAAAGCCAACGTAAATACCATTTTCAAGCCAACAAAGAAAATCAAGGACTTTTTAAGATCGGTGAAGGCCAAATGCGATCCGTTAGCAACGAGCGGAGTATACCGAATACCATGCACATGTGAAAATGGTATATATGGGAACCACAAAAAGCCGAAATCGCTTTGGGAAGCGGAGATCATCGGTGAAGAAACGCAGATGCTGCATAAAACATCACAGTACTACCCACGGGTATATCGGGAAGCGGATAAAATATATAAGAATTCAAATAATTTTAATCGGATAGAAGGACTAAGAATTAACAAAACATGGATACCGATAGTAAAATCCACAAACACCCTTCCCGCAAATCACAAAAAAAAAGAAAAGCTACAAACGACGACACGCCCCCTCACGCCGAAACCAGTGGAGGGGAAGCAAGTAGAAAATATACATATGACCTCCGTAGTACAACGTGGCTTCAACAAGCTATGGAAGACAACATCCCAAAATCTATGACAAACAACAAAGGACTAATTATCCCAACCGAACTTCAGGACATCATCAAGGGCAGAAATAAGGCCAGAAGAGCATTCCAAAGGACAAGAAGACAGGAATTCAAGGAATATGGAGACACCCTATCAGAAGAGATAAGAGTAAGACTGAGAAGTCTTACTGAAAACCAGTGGCACAACATTAGAAAAGCCGAAGAAAACCAAGGAAACGTACGGAAAATGCTGAAAGCCAAGAGAAGAGTGAAACAAAAGATGCCACAAATCATCGACAACGAGGGAATACACTTCGAAACCCAAGGAAAAGTAGATGCAATTGCAAGAAAAATGGCAGCTACTCATAGGCAAAACCAGGACATGTCGGATGCAAGAACCAGAGAAGAAGTCGACAACGAATACACCAGGATCAAAAGAAGAAATGAATTCCTAATAGAAGAAGGCTACACCAGCCCTAACGAAGTTGCAAAAATCATCAGGAAACTAAAAGGAAGCAGAGCACCAGGACCAGAAGGAATCCACAACATCACCCTCAAGGAACTACCAAAGAAGATAATAGTACAACTGTACTATATCTTCAAATACTGCCTGGAAAAAGGACACTTCCCAAACAACTGGAAACACGTCAAAATCATACCACTTCTAACACCTTGGAAGGATGGAAGAAGACCAGAAAGCTATAGGCCTATTTCTTTCCTCGAAACTATGAAAAAAATTCTGGAAAAAATCATCTAAAAAAGACTGATGAAACACACAGAAAAAAGAAGAATTATCAAAGAAGAACAATTCGGATTCAGAAAAGAAAGGAATTGCGAACTTCAATTAGTAAGAATAATCAGCGACACGAAGATAAGGATCAACAGGAAACAAAGGACAGGATTAGCCATACGGTAAGGGTACGGTAGCCAAGGGTAACAAACGTTTTTATTAGCCATACTGGACATAGAAAAAGCATATGACACGGTTTGGAAAAAGGCACTAATCTTCAAGATGGAAGGAGCTGGACTTCCTCACTACTTAATTAACATTTGTGATATGTATTTATTTAATAGAACTTTCCAAGTTTCAGCTGACCAAAAGATGTCAACAATTCAAGATATACACGAAGGAATGTCTCAGGGCAGCATATTATCTTTAATATTATACAATAGTTTTGTTTCAGATCTTCCAACAGATCCAAGAACTTCACCAGCCCTATACGCCGATGATACAGCAGTGTATGCAACCGGAAAAGATGACAGAAGAATCATCAAAAATATGGAAAACCACCTAGGAAAAATGGAAGATAAAAATCAATGCAGAGAAAACGCAGTTCATCATATTCACACAGGAGCCGAGACCATCAGCGAACGAAATCACAGTAGGAGGCAACAAGATCCCGGTAGGAGATTCAGTCAAATAGCTAGGAGTCCACCTCGACAGAAGACTCAACTTCCGATTGCATACACAAAAAACTAAGGTAACTAAACTAAAAAACTAATACTCCCTTATATTTTCAGGACCAGCCCTCTAACGAAGGCCAAGAAGATCCAGTTGTATCAGGTCTACGTTAGATCGGTGATACTGTATGCAGTCCCAGTCTGGAGTTCCATAGCAGAGACCAACTGGAGGAAATTAGAAGCAACTGAAACATCATGTTACCGGATTATCGACGGAGCATCATGCGAAGAAAGAATCACGAATGCAACCATAAAAGAAAGGCTCCAGTACCCACCACTGAGGGAGGTGGTCGAGAAAAGGATAAGGTACTTCTTCCACCAGGCCACAAGAAGACTCCGTAAGACCAGGAACATCGTCGAGAAGAACAGGATCCAGAGGATGTATAGACACACCCATAAACTGATCGACCATCTGATCAGGGTCTAGCCGGATGGTTGCAGGAAAACAGCCAAGCAGGGAAGTAGGTACGAAGCCGAAATAAGTAGCAGGCGGTGCAAGAGCGGGACGTCGGAGAGAAGACATGAAATATTAAATTTGAAATGTACATATTATTAGGGTAACAAACGTTTTTATTTTTATTTTATAACGCGGCTTCAGTTTCAGCTTACAAGCGAAGCAGTAACATCTCCAGAAGATGCCAACCCCTAGTGTTGGCGAAACGTTGAGAACTAATCTCGGAAGACAACGGCCTAACAGCCCGAACAAACATTTTAACAAGTTAGACGATGGCCGTGAAAGAGTAACGCATTTTATCAGAAATTATATATATATATATATATATATATATATATATATATATTTATATATATATATATATATATATATATATATATATATATATATATATCGGAAAAAGGAGTACGACCGTCAATCCAATATATATATTAGGATCACTCAGACGAGTGGTGGGTTCTTATATCGGTCTCTAGGTGGAGAAATAAAAGACAAAGTTGATAGGCTACTTTATCTATTTTGAAGACGTTTCGCTTTAGAGTTTTGAAAGCATCGTCAGTTCATCTAAAAAATTTACAATATGAGAACCACACAATCATGGAAACGATGTTAATTGTTACCTTAAAAAGACATGTAACATTAATAACATTGACTGCTACATGTCTTTTTAAGGTAACAATTAACATCGTTTCCATGATTGTGTGGTTCTCATATTGTAAATTTTTTAGATGAACTGATGATGCTTTCAAAACTCGAAAGCGAAACGTCTTCAAAATAGATAAAGTGGCCTATCAACTTTGTCTTTTATTTCTCCACCTAGAGACCGATATAAGAACCCACCACTCGTCTGAGTGATCCTTATATATATATATATATATATATATATATATATATATATATATATATATATATATATATATATATATACTCTTGGATATATACTCTTGGATATATACTCTTCCAGATTTACTGGACAAACGGTGTGACTTGTCATCATAGATTTTTATATAGATAGATGGAAATTAAACTTTTTTTTTATATTATCATATAACATTTGAAGATTACAAAATGTTATTTTTTTTCATTGTTCCTATATTTTAAAGATGGCGCCAAAAATTTTTCGTCCAAAAATTACTGCTCCATGGCGGACATTCAATCTCCGAAACGCCAAATTTGAAATATAAAATTCGAGAAGGGGTTTATACAAAATAAATGGTCTTATGTAATACATAGTTTATCAGAAAAATTAAAAATTCATAAAAAGAAACAAAATGGCGAATATTTAAAATAATTTTTTCTAAAACTGACCTATTTTTCGACTTTTTACAAGTAACAAGAATTTTATTATTATTTTTTTGGTAAAATTGTTGTAAACTTGTATTATAAACTCGCTAAACAATGCAGCATGGGCGTACTCAACACTCAGTTAGTAGGAAGAAATGTAGCTTGCAGTGTTGCAAGATCTATCGATTACATATTCATGTCTTGGATTTACAAGGCTGCATATAATTTTACCACATAAAAAAAGGAGAACTTACCTCAAATTTCCCTTGACCAACCTATATTCAAAAAGATATTGACCCACCATACAGAATTCAGAGTCAGACAAGTAGCTCACGGAAGTTCCAGTAAATACGCCCGTAGTAGATTTATAGCGATCTGTAGAACTACCCCCTTCTTTTATTACATCGTCAGATGTAACAGATCTTACATCGTCATCTGAAAGATCTGAAACTTCTTCGTCGTCATTTTCTATTTGGATTATTATATTTTCAGCACATGCTTGTTCTTCAGACAATGTTCCTTCGAGCACTTTTCGAAGTTCTTCTTCCACTGAGTCTAAGTTTTTTTGAGAGTTTCCTGAAATTTAAATACTTCGATTTACGAAATTCTTATAAAAAAATAGGCGCTTAAAAGAGAAGGGTATCTTAAAAGAAACCGTTTTTACTAACGTTCTTGTGTGCTTTTGATTTCTGTCACACATTCAGAACGCTTGGTATAGTCGCTTCACTCAGTTTGGAAATATTTTGACAAAGTTATTGTCAGAAACATACAAAGCAAAAATTCCTAACACACCTTATTAATAGCTGAAATAAACTTACTGCCGTAAACTTCTTTAATTGGAAAATGAAGAATAATCATTATTATAAATGTATATTCATTAATTTTTGATTAAAAACTGTCTATAATAACTAAAAAATTTCAAAAATAAATATTTAAACCTTTGTTGTAAATAAATAAACACATTATGAAGTACATGCGCTTTATTTTGTCTTTAAGTTACAATTAATATTGGCTATGAGCACATGAGTATAGTAAAATCCAGCTTGATCAACGTAGCAAAAAGTTAACTACTAGTTCAGACTGGGTTCAGTCATATACTCTAATAGACGATAAACTAACACCAAAGTCTAGTAGATAGAAACAATCCTAACGTTGATAAGAGAAGCAAAGAACAGAGGACTAATAATCAATCAGAATATAACAAAATATTGAAAAAGTACAAGATACGGATCAACAGAAATAAATATAGGTGAAAACAAATTCCAGAGGGTCAATTTCTTGGGAAAATAGAAGAAATGTAGAAATAAGCGAAGGAATTAAAGCGGGGAACGGAATGTTTTGGAAATATCATCCACTAAAAAATAAAAACCTGAGCAAAAAAAGCAAAGGCAAAAATATATAGAGTGTCTTACAAAAAAGATGAAGATAAACTAAGAATTATTGAAAGAAAAATTATGAGAATGCACGGCCCAATAAAGACCGAACAAGGAGAATATAGAACACTAATGAACAATGATATAAGAAATATAACCGAATAGGAAGACACAGTAAACTTTATTAATGCCCAAAAACTGATATAGTTTGGACACAACAAAGAAGAGAAGAAGGCGGCACTAATTAGTAAGAAAACAAACCAGAAACCAGTAATAAACAGACCAAAAGGAAGACATGTTCGCATGTTTTAAATAAAATTTTTGACGATTTACCATTTACCTAAATGTAATTCCCACTAAGATATTAAATAATACAAATCATTTAATTTTTAGTTATCAACAAAAAAGTAATATATGATGACAAGTATGAATAATTTAATGGTAATACGATCTTCACAGATATCGTTTTCGCAGTCATTTAGTTTCGCAGTTTTTCGCATATCTACATATTTCTTTGTCAAAAAAAGTATTTAGATAACATGAATAATTTTTCAATTTATTTTATTTAGCGTATGGATAATTACAATACGATAAAAGTAGTATTTAGATAATAATTATGTTCAAATTGGAATTGTAATCTAAGTTAAATATTAAATATTAATGTCCAAATTGCACAGCCATTCAATTGCACCAGGAGAACACTCTGCAAAACCTTGAAGGTCTCCGCTGTATCTGCGGATTGGGCAATCCGCCATGATGTGTTGGATGGTCTGTCTTGGGGATCCACAATCACATTGTGGGCTTTCTGCATGACCCCATCGGTATAGAGAATCGGCACATTTGCCATGACCCGTGCGTATGCGATTTAATTTTGTCCATATAGGGCGTGGCAGGTTTGATCCAGTGAAGCCGATCGACGTACTTGTTATTTTGATGACGTCTGGCTCTGTTGTTGGCATCCATCTTTTCGTCCACTGCTCTTGCTTATTGTAGCTATCACCCATTCCCTGAACGGATTGGACAGGGGGTCGTCTGGACTTCAGTCTTTGTTGGTCTCGTGCGGCGTGCGGAATATACTGGTGAATTGGCAGACGATTATTTGCCATGATTTTCTGATATTCTCTGACAAGTGCTGCCGTTCGTCGAATATCTGGAGGTGCTATATTGCTCAGAATTGGAAGCCATCTTAGTGGAGTTGATTTAATAGTACCAGATATTACTCTCATAGTGTAATTTAGTTGAACATCAATCTTGTTGACATGAGCGCTATTTAGCCATACCGGTGCGCAGTATTCAGCGACAGAATACACCAGGGCCAGTGAGGAGGTTCGAAGTGTATCCGCAGTGGCACCCCATGTCGTTCCAGCAAGCTTTGTTATTATGTTGTTACGGGTTCTCACTTTGGCAGCTACATTCGTAAGATGGGTTTTGAACGTCAGTGATCTGTCGAGCGTTACACCCAGGTATTTAGGGTTGTTATTATGTTTCACCAATTTTTCAATGATATGTATGGATGGAATCTTATTTTCCATTAACAATATGTTCTCGAAAAAGCATAACACTGATTATTTGGTAAACCTACATTAGACGCCACAAAAAAAATAAACAAAAATTATTAAAACATATTTTTTTAATAAATTTACTGTATGATAATATATTCCGATTGACACAGCAGAGCAGTAAAATATTATACATAAAGATGTTGTAAAAGGTATCTTCGCTTACTTGGCCTACTAGTAATAAAGTTATCAGCCATAAGTTGCAAAGCGGTCTTGTGGCTTTAACTTCATTTATTAAAATTACTGTCTACACACAATTTAGCAACTCAGCCAATGGATGTAACGATAGAAAATTGTAATTTATGTTAGGGTTTGTAAATATTACAGTCATTATGTACAAACCTATAATTAAGTTGAAAATTGTACCACAACAGCATGCCGCAGTAGAGCCATCTCTAGGGTCAGAAACAAACTAATTGAGGGTGCAGATCAACCTTAATATAATTAATATTGGGACAGAATTATAACAAATCTTTACTACAAACAAACAGTAAGAGCTAAAGGTGTAGACAGACTTTCATCAGAAGAAGTAACGATTTTGAAAGGCATTTGTCAGGATTTACTACTTTGCAGATTCATTTAATGTATATAGTAAATCAATATTTCAGGCGCTAAATGACTTAAGGGAGGTAGGGTTAATTTTCAATATTTTAAACATTTTGATTTTTTTTTAAGTATTAATATAAATTTATTTATAACATTACTACATTTTATAGTACATTTTTCAAGAGTATTTTTCGAAATTTTGATACAAAAATATTAAAAATTGAGCCAATGACAGCTAATTTTCCAAGATAAACAAGGTCAATGTGTGGTGTTCATCGTAATTTTTATCCTCTCTAGTAATTCGATTGTTATCTGCCGCGATTTATGAGAACTTGAGGCTTTACTTATTCCAATTTCTATGTGATTGCTCACTCACTCACCAGACTTACTCACCACACTCACTCAATCACCTCTAACTCACCTAACTCACTCACTCACTCTCCTCCCTCACTCATCAACTCACTCCTACATGCCTATAACTCCATTAATTTGCTGCGATTACTCTGAAATTTTAACAGGCTACTTCTGAAGGGTTATACTGTTGAATGGGTAAATAAAAAATGCAAGCATGCATAGAGACAAGAAGGTCAGCGTTCATAATGATCAATCCATATATACAGAGTGGCCCAAAAGTCTGGAAACGGCCAATTATTTCATAAATTGCTAGTCATAATTATACAACATTTGAGGTACAACTATTTTTAGATATGGAGATACCATATTTGATATTTGCAATGTTGCCAGATTTGCTGTTTTTCTTATATTATTAGTAACTTTGGTTTTTCAAATTCATCACCCTGTATATTCAGTCCCTATTGGAATCTCCTATTCAATATGAGTTCAACCATATGTAACACTTATGATTTTATGTAGTTTGGAAGGTCCTAAATACATAAAACAGTGTAAAATATGTAGATTTTAATATATTTAAATATTTAAATGTAGAATGCTGTGATTTTGACCTTTATTCATCATTTACATTAATAACTAAAACTGACAGTAGTTGTGTTTCGAAAAGTTCTGCAACATAAATTGCTTCTCTAAAATGGCTCTTAACGAAAAATAACGAATTACTATTATAATGAGAGGGTACGGTGACAGAAAAAGATCTTATTGTGAAGTAGCCAACTTGTTCAATGATATTTTCCCAAACCGTTCTCCTATTCATAAGGCGACGGTACAAAAAACTGTAAAGCGATTTGAGGAATCTGGAGAAGTAAAAGATACATACCGATCAGGTACACCGCAAATAGTTATGAATGACAACAAAACTTCAGATATAATGCAAAGTTTTGTTGAATATCCACATACATTCTCACGCAGGCTCGCACAAGTACATAATGTACGTCGTTCTTCAGTCTTACGTGTATTACGTAAGAATAAATTTAAACCATACAAAATTAACTTATTCCAAGAATTAAGTGAAGATGACTTCGATCGTAGATTAGAGTTTACTGAGGTAATGATGGATAAAATTAAAAATGATGAAAATTTCGTTAACAGAATATGTTTTTCTTATGAAGCAACCTTTACACTGTGCGGAAGTGTAAATCGACATAATTTAAGGTACTGGAGTGACGTAAATCCACACTGGATGCGTGAAAACCATACTCAAAGACCACAAAAATTAAATGTATGGTCAGGTATAGTAGGCACTCAGTTAATTGGGCCATTTTTTATCGAAGGAAATTTAACGTCTTAGTTGCGAAATGTTACTTAGAAATGAAGCTGTACCTACACTGAAAAACTTGTTTGGGGCCAATTTTAATCAGATATGGTTTCAGCAAGATCCAGAGCTCATTTTGGTGTAAATGTTCGGCGTTATTTAGATGAGATATTTCCAGGACGATGGATTGGTAGACGAGGTAGAATTGAATCTCCTCCACGTTCACCTGATTTCAATCCTAAAGAATATTTTTATTGGGGATACTTGAAAAATTCAGTTTACAAAACTAAATCAGCAAGTCTTGAAGAGCTAAGGCAACGAATTATCGATGAATCTCGAATCGAATAATTTCTAGACAATCATGGAGAAATATGGTAGACGCATTCTACCATTGATTCGGGTACTGTCAACTCACAAATGATGCACATTTTGAACACTTGATAAAGTATCCATTCTTACGTTTATCAATTCTTAATCTATCAATTAAAAAACAATTCCTGATCTTGTTATTACGCTAGAATTGCTTTTTTTTCGCATACCAAAGAATTATTTTTTACAATTTGAAAATTCGATATTGTGAAGTATAATTTCGGATTTTTAAATTAAAAAATAAATAAGTAAGTTTCAAATAACGCCTCATTAGAGCTCAACAAAGGAAGATAAGAAAAAGGCAAAAATGGCTGCTGGGACATAGACCATAGCAAATACTAAGAAATCCAAATCAGCAACACCCGAGGATAAAAAGAGACTTCGGGAGAATACCATCAACCCCTTGATGAGGCTCCTATCTGAGGTTAAAATGAACTTCTGCAATTCCATAAAACACCATTTAGCGAAAGGACCATGTGGGTGAACTTTGTTAACGAGTATACAAAAAAAAAATGGACGACTGAAGTGGTGAAAACTATTGAGGGCCTGTGAGAGAGAGAGTAAACTTATATTGTTCCAAATGATATGCAAAAGAGCCCCATGGTCCTCACCCGCGTCCCCGAGAATCTTGATGAAGAAACTATCAGGACCCCTCTAAAGAGGCAAAATCTAGACCACACAGAAGACTGGTTGTGATCTCTGTTCCACAGACTGAACGACAGTAAAGATAAAGGTTATAGAGGAAGGAATTATGAAGGAGATAGTTCTCAGATCAGCATCCTCCCATATGATGATCTAGAACAACCATTAAGGGAGTTGGAACAGTTAGTGAGAGATTGCATGAAAAATGAACTGCAATTAATGATATCTATGATATGAATGCCTACCATCTGACCTGGGGCAGAACAAATAGCAAACTGTTAAAAAATGGCATGCTTAAGATGACATGTCTTGTTCAGACCATCGAGATGGGCAGTGAGCATATCAAGGAAACTTATCGTAATGCTCGTAAAACAAATTGGGAAGCATATCAAGCAGACCTGGAATATTTTTTAGGTAAGATTGAAGGGACGATAAGGTATAACGGAAAAGTACCCTGGTGAAATGACAATATTGCAAATTAAAGGACAGAAGTCAAAATTGTCTAAAAAGTTTGATCAAAAGTTGAGAAAATTAAATTTTTGGGTGAAAAACTTTGAAATTTTTCAAAAATGTTTCGTAAGTTTTAAAGCAGGAAAACAGTATAATAAAAAGTTATGTGACGGTTTTTCGTAGTGTTGGAACAAACCTATTTTTAATTCAAAGTTATAAAATTTTATTTACATGTAAAAAAAAAAATAAATACTTTGAATATTGTAAATATCATACTTTTTTAAGTTTTAAAAGTAAAAATTTAACAATTTAATATATTAAAAATAAAGATTTTGTTGTGAAAAAAACAAAAAAAAAAGACAGTTTGCAAATCGATGGCATCGAAATTTGATTACACATATATGTGTAATGTATACATAGCAAGAAAATAAAGAATAGAAAAAATAAGGGCTAGTAGCATAGGGAGAATAATAATCATTCAATTAATTATTATATCAATATAAGGTTGAATGTTCGAATAAATGAACTTTGATGGTACACAAGGCAAATATCGAACACAGTATTTAATTAAATCTTGCCCAAGTACTTTCGATCACAAGATCATCCTCAGGGGCATTTGACGAAATAGGCCACAATTGACGAAATGCCCCTGAGGATGATCTTGTGATCGAAAGTACTTGGGCAAGATTTAATTAAATACTGTGTTCGATATTTGCCTTGTGTACCATCAAAGTTTAATTATTATATATTCCATATTAAATACAGTAACGTATACATTTTTAATTATACAAATAATAACAATTGACCTAGTTTGACACAAGCCCGAATGTTTAAGAATTAAGAAATCTGAAGACCTTCGTGAAAATTAATACAACGAAGCGACACACCATCGCATGTTACATTCCAACACGTGGAACAGTACAGCAGAATCAGCAAAATAAACTAGAAATGTTCGCGGGACATAAAAACTAAAAAAATTGGTCAACCAGTCAGTAATAGCGGGGCACCGTGACTGGCCGCTCAGGCAGTATTGCCGGCATCGGGTCGGACGCGATAGCGTCCCGTACGCGCAGGCAGTCGGTGTCTTCGGGCAGGGTTGTGAATACGAGAGTCGGCACCAGGTGCGGATTACGCGCAATTGTTATATTTCTTCGGGGTATAGTTCCGTATAAGTGTCGGGTACTGAAAGAAATCCGATTTCCAGAGGAACTGAAGGGCGTATCATTAGCTAGAGCCTAAATACGCGAAAGGTAACAAAATTCTATATACTAACCCGAGTAAATTACAGTATTACAGATTGTCACCCCTTTACTTTCTTGCTAAGATCTCTTCTCGTCTCCCTTCGCGCCGAACGAGTTATTATTAATTATATCTGACAGCTTGTTAACTTGATTGTAAACCACATAGTATATTCAATACATTTGTAGACTCTAAAATTGGTTTTTATGTTCCTTTCGACCGATTCACCGATTACCAAATTTCGGCTTATACATTTATCCGGCTTCTAAAGTAAGCCCATAGACTCAAACTCTTTACAGGACCTGAGACCTAGAAGTCCTTAACCCCTATTCCAAAGTTCCTTACCTTCTCGTAAATCCACGAAGGCGAGCCAGCCCTCCAGACTAGTGGGACCAGTATTCCTTGCAGCCGCTCGCAGGGATAAGCATCCTTTAAGGTTCATTACCAGTATATTACAGTGGTAACAGCGTTGTACAGTGGTGAAGATTTTCTCACCCTCTAGTTCCAGATGTTACAATAGGGGATATAACCTCCCGCTAGTTGTACAGATGCATAAGTTAAACAAATTGCTCTGTTCGTACTCCTTTCCTACTTCCCCCTAACTACATCTTGAGTTTATGCAACCGTGACCCAATCGTCCATTCAACTGTCCTATATGTGTCTATATTCTTTGATATAACCATAGGTTTAGTTCAGCTATTAGCAGGAATTTTTATGTTGTATGTTTCTGACACTGATTTGCACTGATAAAATTTTCCTAAACTAAGTGAACTGATAATAAAATAAAACCTAAATAAATGAGTGCGAAGGTTTTATTTACAAATGTGGTAGGTTAAAATAATATTATCATATGAATTTGGTAATATCACAGGCGGCTGTTTAAGTGACCAAATTTTTTTTTTAATAAAGTTTGTGGCTTTAAATGTTTAAATGAAAACACCAGAAAACTATTTAATGTCTAGGTTTTTTAAAATTTATATACATAATATTTTTAGTAATATTTATATTATACGATCAGCAAATGGCAAAATTAAAAAAAAAGCGATAAAATTACCTTTAGGTTTAGCTACCTTTCCCTTATTATTCTCTTTCTGAGGACTATTCTTTTTAACCAAAAACTCACTGATAGCTTCCAACTCATCGTAGGCACAAATCTCAGCTTCTTTTGTACTTTCTCTTACTTTCTTGTTGTTCACTTCCACAGGTTTCGCATCCATTTCGTCTGACTCCGACACTATGTTTTTCCGTTTCTTTCTTTTGGATGCTGAAACTGGCTGCTGTTTTGGTAATGTTCTTTTTTGAATCTTGTCATTTCTTAAGCAAGTAGAGCGAAAATTAAAACAGATCTTTAGAGTTTCTAAGCAATCATTGCATATATTTTTTGGTAAAGAGTCTTCATAAGATATCTAAAAGATCAAAAAAGTATTTAAACTTGTTACATAGGTAATTTTCATAAAGCAGTGTACTTATAAATGGTCACATACTTATGTAAATTGGGAATTCTAAACTAAATAATAAATGATATGGCACTTCCAGATTCATGTAATATTATATATGTAAGGATAATAAGAAACAATCAACTGGAAACAACACCAGACAATCAAACAAGTTAAAGATAAGGCCAAATCAATAAATTGCAAACAGAATAAAGTAAAACATATAACAGTATGATCACTGAACTCTTCCCGACTCATAAAAGAGGGCTATTTATTTATATAACATTAAAAATATATTTTTTTTTTTTTCGAAAATTTGAACTGGCTTCAGTTGAAAATAATGCAGTCTGTGATTTCAAATTTTTATTCTTTGTACTTCAGTTACCTCGATCATATATAAAATACTGACATCCCGGCAGTCAACAGGCTGTTTATGTAATCGTTTAATTTATATGTATGGTGTTGTCAAGACACCAGAAGACATAAAGAGAAAATCAGAAATTACGACATAATTCCTATATACAATGGGACTTTGATAGGTAGCTAACCATTCATCACTCCTGGATACTAATAAACAACCAGTTTTAATATCTTGATGCAAATTAAAAATTTAATGGAAAATTAATCTATATGTATACAATTGTATTTTGATTTAACTTGAGTCTGTTACCATTATTGTTGTACACATGTTTCTGGGTCTACCCATCATCAGAGAGACTTTAAGAAAACTGAGCGACTTCTAACAAAGAAAGATGAAGTGAGTGTCGAAAAAAAAAAACAATTGTTTTAGTTATTCCTGACCCATTGCAGACAGTAAGAAAATTAAAGAACATATTACAAATTGTACCATTACTAGTGGCATAATAATAGTATGTTTACCTCAATTGGATGAACACAAGCCAAAATAGCAAAAACTATGTGAACTCCTTCTTCAATTTCCTCTACAAATATATTTTTTAAATCTGATCTATGCTTTAGACACAAACGGCACAGTGATGTAACAACTCTAGAATCTAAAAAAGTCAACTATATTATTTAATACATAAAAAATCATCAAATATTTTTAGAAGTAAGTACACTGTAGAAGTCTAAAATAAAGTGTTTTTTTCTTAATTGTTCTTGCTTGTAGGAAAAATAACATAATAATTACAGCTTACTCAGATATTACCTTTATAAAATGTGCAAAGTGGATAAAACAACATACATATCCTGCGAAAATGCAAGGGCAACATAAGATATATTAAATGTGATGTATTAATATATTTTTGTTTTATAATGCTTCAATGAAAATTGTGTCTTTCATACAGATTTTAATGTATTAGGAAGTTTAAAAATTCTACAATAGTTTTCCTCTAAGTTCCAAAAAAATCACTAAATGTTAAAAACTCTTTATTTCTATTTTATTCTATAGTTTCTCTTTTAAAGTTGGTTTTTTAAAATTGGTACACTTCATAGTGTGTAAAGATATCTCTATAAATATATACCCATGAATTTTATATTAGCTGTAAACTAATTTTTTTTTATAATCTTTCCATAATTTATGTTTGATTTGTTTCTAAATTTAGATTCATTGTAAGTGCATATTACTGAAATTATAATAATTATAAAACTATAAAATTGAAAGCTGAACAAGGATCAATAAAAACTTACAATGTATCTCCATCCTCATTACCTAATGTTAACCTTATGTCATCCTAAACTTAAAGGGATGTATTATAGAAATATTTTGAGAATGTTCGGAAAATATCCAACCATGTTCAGGAAGAACAGAGAAGTAAATGATCAAATTATTTATGTCCTATGATATTTGCAGATAACATCTGTGAACATAAGTTGAAAGTTATCGCCAAAAAGGCTTAGATCCAAATAATTACAAGAAATTTTCATTAAAACCATTAAAAAATTAAGGAAAACATATGGAGGGGTCCAAGAACAGGGTTTGTGGCGTAGGCGCTACAACTTTGAATTATACAGAAGTTTTGGGAAACCTGACGTTGTAAAACTTATTAAATTAGCACGCCTTCGATGGATAGGACATGTAATTAGGTGAAAGGAAGATGCAACAATCAGAAAAATTTTTGACCAAAGAGGACCAGTGGGAAGATGATCCAAAGAAAGACCAAAATTTAGGTATCAAGATAACATATAGGATGCTCTAAAATCCATCGGAGTTAAAGCATGGAGAAGTGTTGCCAGAGACAGGGGCGAATGGAAGATTCTTGTAAAGAAGGCTTTGGCTCATGATGAGCAGTAATGCCACTGATGATGATGATTCATTAAAAGCACAGGCAGATCTGGGTACTTATACCTGCAAAATTTATATGAACAATGGAGATTGACCAATATTATGACAAAGTTAGATGGAGGGGAGCTAAATTGAGGAATTTAAAATACTTTTTGTTGGGCATAGCAGGCAAGATATTGAGTAATATTTGCTAGAATTGAAAACAGCATCACAACAGGTTGGTCTAGTCAGCAACAAAGACAAACCCAAGTACATGCTGGTTACTAAGGATCCAAAACAGTCTTTGGAAGTCATATCTTTGAATGTGTTGACAGCTTCACATACCTTGGCTCACTAGTGACTACTTTAGGTTATTCCACGAATATACGACTGTTTTGGATTATTGCGACAACGAATATTTTACTGTGCAAGTAGAAGTTTGAAAGTAAATTGGTCTAAACAGTATTCCAATAAAATGGATCTACTGTTAGTTTGACATTTAAACTAAAATTATTTCAGTTAATAGATGTTCAAACAGACGCAAAATTTATTGTGAAATTTAATCTGAAAATAACAAAAATTTTTACGCAAACGGTCCTACAAATAAATACAATGCCGTCTATTAAGCCAAAATGTGTTCATAAGACATTTGGGTACGGCAACTGTAATAAAAGAAATATACTATTTTTAATATAAATGAAAAGAAATTGGCAGAATGATCGTTCAGAAACCAGAAAAAGGATCTAATATTTCACTTTGTTAGTTTTAAATATTTGTTTGCTTTGTGTGGATGTACTCTTAAAAGTTTCGAAAGTAACGGGTATAACATACCAACTATTGATAGTTAAAGTACCGAGTCGTTACAGATTAAAAAGTAACGAAAATTTACATACAGTTTCATATATTGCCGAATGATTTTAATTTTAAAAACCATCTGTATAGAGGTGTCCGGTGAAGAGAGGTGCCGTTAAGAGAGAGTCTAGTGTAGTGTCTTTGTTTATTGAAGCCAAAAATGTTAAGACGCTTTTAAATATAGACAACTTTATATTTAATGTACTTTCTCATTGTAAAGTTCTGTGAATCTGATGGTTGATGATAGTTTTAGGAGGTTAGGAGAATTAGAGAATAAGTAAGTTTTTTTGTTTTTTAATACTAATTGAATATTCGACTAAATAAATTACACCATTTAATCACCTTTGTAAAAATCACATACAATACACTTCATTTAAATCACTTAATTCAAACACCAACTTGTTTACAATACTAAACTCAATTATAGTAATTATATACTTCAAAATCTGAATTACAACTGTTCTATAAACTATCAACTCTATATTTATATCATGACTTCATATTTAATAAGGTTTATATGTCATAACAGTATTTTAAAAATTGGAAGAATTTACTGTTGTACAATTCAGTACATTCAACCATTTAAATTGATACCTTAAACAAAATTTAAAACAGTCGTATATTCGTAGAATGGAGTATACCAACAAAACAAGCAAATCAATTAAAAGATGAATAAACCCTACAAATACAGCATACTATGAACTTCAAAAACAATTTCACTCAATAAATATCGAAGGAAATACTAAAATTATAGTTTCTAAATAACTAAAATTTCAGAACAATGAAAGACTATTTCAGATTTGGAGCTATAAACGATCAAAGGCAGCAAAAGATGTAATTTCAAATTATACCAAATCTTTAATGAACTAGATGTCAAAATGTTCATTAAAATACAGCAACTTAGATGGGCTGGACACATAATACGAATGCCTGACAATATGATTGATAAAAGCAGACAACAAGAAGACCTATAGGAAGAAGCAGAGGCCAACTGTGAATTAGGTGGTTAGATAGAGAGAAGGGTGACAAATCTTAGAGCTGGCCAGGATCCCCAGAGGATTGTAGAGATAAAGATGATGATCACCCTGTTTAACCTTGATCTAGAAAAAATAATTATTAAAGTAACAAAATGAAAAACTGGAAAATTAACTAAAATCACATAGATATTCTACAGATAGAAACATTTTATACCTTCATAGAGTTTATCAAGGAGTTACAATAGATGAATAGAGTATAAGGTTAAAGAGATAAACTCTAGAATATCAAGATGAACAAAAAGTATGGAAGTCTAAAGACATTAATGAAGTCAAAATGTTTACCACAAAAAAATAAAACATGAATCTACACAACATTGACACATACTGTTACCTCTATGCTAGTGAAACATCTTCTAGAAAAGCCAGATGAAGAGACATTAGATTCATTCATTCTAGTCAGATTTGAAAGAAAATGTCTACAGTGGAGAAAGATTGCTGGAAGGAGAGAGGAGCAAAACAAAGAACTAATATAGTTAAATATAAAACTAGATATAAATACTTACACAAAAACACAGAGACTATTGACTAGGCCAAGTCTATTGTATAGATGTCTAAGATGGCCCTACTGAGCCACACATTTACCAAAAGAAGAAAGGTACCACCTAGGAAAAAGTCATTAGACAATAATATTTAAAATAATCTAAGAAAAATGAATGTTAAAGACTAAAAAATGCACTGAACAGGATGGAATAGAAGACACTAGTGATGGTACATGTTTTGAAAATACTTTTTAATGCCATGTATTTAAAAATTGTTAGTATTTAATTTTATTTGAGAACTTCTTAGTATAATCAAGTATATGGGCATTATTAAAAATTGTTATAGGGTTCTACTGATAATATATTGTTAAATATTAAATTAATATGACAATTAAGTTAAAAGTATCTAGTATTTTTCTGTAGATGACTTTTTGAATCCACTTGTAAGTACAAATAAAAGAAATTAATTTAGAAAGTGTCATTATTTTGTAATTGTGAAGTCTCCAATTGTATTTCATTTAAATTAAAAGTATATACCACAAAGCACTTTATTAAGGATAATGTAACTTAACATATACATAAAAGTTGCAATGTAACTTCCCTAGGGATTTTCACAATATTTTTTAACCATTGGACCATATATTATTATAAATAAAACAGAAATTAAAAAAACACCTGTATTTTGTGTATCTCTTCTAGTATAATGAGAAATTTGGGAAGGTGCATCATTACTTTCCTCTTGAACAAAATTAATCTGAATATTCTCTTTTATATCATCTTCATCTTCTGTATCATCATCTATTTCTACATGTTCGTCCTTATCAGTATCATATTGCTTTTCCAAATCATCCTCATTTTCCATATAAATTTTCTCTTGGCTGTCATTATAATGGGTAACATTTACAGCTAAAATCAAAAAATGTTTTTGTGTTTATCACCAGTTCTATACATATGCTTAAACAATAACATAAATCATTGAACAATCATTAGTAAGTGAAGCAGAATTCATTGATATAAATTTCATCTCCGTAAACATGGTTCCCGCTTATTACATTAGTACCCAAAATTATTTTGAATCAAGTCATTGTACTGAATGAGTCAACTACATGGTAGATGAACTAGTAAGAAGTGGACAAAAACATTGTGTATGGAATCTGAACAGTTTTAAAATAACAAAAATAAATTGTTAAAAAATACTCAAAAATAAATAAAATATATCTTATATAGGGTATGCCCAATGATACCTCCTCTAATTTAATATATATTCATACCAGAAATAGATTCATTGGTAGTCTGCAGTGATCCACAAACAAGTTTTACCAGTGACATGATACTTATTCACTTTTTTGCAAATATTTGAAATAGGTGTAGTTTAAACTGGGCTGCTAGGTGATCTATTATTTTATAATTGAAATCTAGTTTTTACATCAAGGTGCTGATGTAATAAACATAAATTACCATAATAGAAACTTGTACTTTTCAGGCATCTTACACATTATTAAAGATAACCTTAAAATATGTCAAATTCAAAAACTTGTCTTTTATTACCTCTTATATGTTTTTAAATTATTGAAAAATACTTCCATACTACCTATATTCTTTGATACTAAATAAGTCCATTATTTATTATTTACATTGAACGTATTATCAGTATTATAATTGATTTGATTTAATTCTTAGTATTTAGATGGTAACAATTTATCATATTAATTAACAATTTTTTGCCAGAGCAAAATCTTCTCTGAAAAATTTGATTAAACTTTTTTGAAAATCACTAACCAGTAAGTTGTAAATCCTTGTTTTCGTCTTCTTGAAAGTGATCTAAACAAACAAAACTGGAAGGTTCTGGCTGCAGGTGCTGTAAACCTAAAGTTTCTATCCATTTGTCTCTAATATCTGGTTCTTCTGGAAAGGCAATGCCTACAGTGTTTTTACAATTAGGAACGAAGCATTTATCGTTCATACTTTTCAAATATTTTCTTTTTTCCTTGAAAATTTTAGTATATGAGCGGTAGACCAACGCAAAATTATAACCAATGGGATCGGTGCAAGCAGTGGACTCGTTTTAACTTATGGGAAAATCAGTGTTACCAAAGCACTTTATTACTTCACATCAATTCAAAAATATTTGAATATAGGGAACGGTTTATAGTCGGGTAGAAATAATATCAGGTATAAAAATAAACAACTACCTACGGATATGTAATATAAATATAAAGACATCTTCGTAACAATTATAAATTTAATTTTATAAATGATAAACGTTGTTAATAAATTTTAAAAAGAAATGTACCTAGTTGCCTAGCAACCAATTTTAAATCAAAACAATAGTGTAGGATAGTGAATTATAACTAGATCTGTAATATCTAGATTTTGTCTTATAAAAAACAATAATTTAAATATGACTTTGTATTTTGAAAGACCAGTCGTCTTTCCAGAAACAGGTTCTATATCTGTGAACAGCGTTTGGCATTCAAATACCCCCCTCTTGGCGGTGGCAAGTTTTTCACAAGATAGGGGAGGATTTGTTATCATTTTTGATGAGTTGGTAAGCCATTAATTATAAGTTTGGCAAAATTAAAAATATATATTATATTATAAAAAATGAGATAGCTACAAACAGCGCTAAAAAAGGCAATTTATCTCTTTTTAGGGAGAATCGTTGAAAAATGTCAACTATCCAGTACATAGAAGTTTCCAAGTAACTGCTCTTTCTTGGCACCCGAATAAAATAATTCTTGTAACCGGATGGGAAAACGGTGAACTCAAAATTTGGAATGGTTCTGACAAAGATTTTGCGAATGTTATTGGACCTCACAAGGCACCCATCACCTTTTTGGGATTTAGCGAGAAAGGAACACGTTTGGTATCATGTGATTCGGTAAATATATTTTTAGCTTTGATTATATTATTATGCATTTATGAAATGCTGAAAGGAGTCGACATTAAATTCGCTAATTTTTTGTAGTGTGTACTTAAGCCATCGAACAAAAAGACAACAGAGGGAATGTAAAGGTAGTGGGGGCAAAAATATTGTTAGACAGGAAGTGCGATCTTTAGAGGCCACACATCGAGCAATAAGACAAAAGAGGGAATGTAAAGGTAGTGGGGGTAAACCATCGAGTAAAAAGACAAAAGAGGGAATCTAATCCTTATGAAAAGGAGACCAAAAAAGTGGCCTCTGATGGCGGACATATCCGGAAATGCGAATGCGCCAAATTTAAATTTTCTGACATTTATTAACAGTAGCTATATAATATTTTTCAGAATGTGTCTTAGACGAGAAAGTTTTAATTAATTATTAACGGTAATAGTCTAAAATACGACACAATTTTCAAAAAACTTCAATATAAATAAGATTTCATGTGACATTTGGGACAAACAATGACGTATAATATATAGACTCGGTGAACGCTTTAAAAAGTGTCCAAAACATGAATACCTTTGTTATTGTTTATTGTTTTGATACGAAGATGCACGAAGTTCATGATTTCTTTCGAAGCATCACGAAGTTGATCTTGTGTTTGAAAACATCATGGACGTACTCCATTTTGTGTGACAAGCAAATTTTATTTTAAATTGTTGAGAGTTATTTACTTACTATTTTAGTAAAATGACATACTATTTTATCAAAATAAATATTTCTCTTATAGACGGGAACAAAAAGAAATCATAAATATTTAATTTTAATTAAAAAAATAATTATTGTCATTACCATATAAATGAGCACGCCGCTGTTCTGATAAACATACCTTCAACCTTGAGCCGAGATCTTTCGGACACTCGATTCTATAGCGAGAATAGGGGACTGCGTAGTCTATATATTATACGTCATTGGGGACAAACAATAACATAACCCAACTAAATTTGATGTCAAACAAGGAGTGAGACTCTCTTTCCTTGTTTAATGTGGCCTCTAAAGATCGCACTTCCTGTCTAACAATATTTTTGCCCCCACTACCTTTACATTCCCCCTATTGTTTTTTTGCTCGATGGGGTAAACATATTGATAGACAAGAAGTGCTATTTTGAGAGGCCACTTTAAACAAGGAAAGAGAATCTATTTCCTTGTTTAAGAAATCAAATTTAGTTGGGTTATGTTATTGTTGATGTTATTGTTTGTCAAAACTGTCACATGAAAGCTTATTTATATTTTCTATTGAAGTTTTTTAACATTTTAGACTATTATCGTTATTAATTAATTAAAACTTTATTGTGTTCTAGTGTTAAAAAAAGTATTTTGATAAATAATTTTAATAAATAAATAGATAAATATATAATATAAAATATTATGTAATATAAAATAAATAAATAGATAAATTAGAACCCCTACACCACTGTATGATTATTGTCAAGTGTCATGAAATTTAAATTTGGCGCATTTGCATTTCCGGATATGTCCGCCATCAGAGGCCACTTTTTTGGTCTCCTTTTCATAACGATTAGATTCCCTCTTGTGTCTTATTGCTCGATGAGGCCACATTAAACAAGGAAAGAGAGTCTCTCTCCTTGTTTGACATCAAATTTAGTTGGCTTATGTTATTGTTTGTCCCAAATGTCACATGAAATCTTATTTATATTGAAGTTTTTTAACAATTGTGTCGCATTTTAGACTATTATCGTTAATAATTAATTAAAACTTTCTCGTCTAAGACACATTCTAAAAACTATTTTATAGCTACTGTTAATAAGTGTCGGAAAATTTAAATTTGGCGCATTCGCATTTCCGGATATGTTCGCCATCAGAGGCCACTTTTTTGGTCTCCTTTTCATAAGGATTAGATTCCCTCTTTTGTCTTTTTGCTCGATGAGGCCACATTAAACAAGGAAAGAGAGTCTCTCTCCTTGTTTGACATCAAATTTAGTTGGGTTATGTTATTGTTAGTCCCAAATGTCACATGAAATCTTATTTATATTGAAGTTTTTTAACAATTGTGTCGCATTTTAGACTATTATCGTTAATAATTAATTAAAACTTTCTCGTTTCATTCTCGACACATTCTGAAAAATATTATATATCTACTGTTAATAAGTGTCGGAAAATTTAAATTTGGCGCATCAGAGGCCACTTTTTTGGTCTCCTTTTCATAAGGATTAGATTCCTTCCCTCTTTTGTCTTTTTGCTCGATGACTTAAGCACATAAAAACCAGGTCTAAAGCCACTTTGATGTCCTTTTTACATATACAATTAAACAATTATATACAGATTATACAGATTGAACCAAATTAAAACGGAACATACAATTTAATACATGTGTGTTTGAACTGCATTTGAAATAGTGGACCAATATAAAACTCGGACAAAAATAAATCCATACCTAGGTATAGACATTGTATAAAATATCGTTCAACTATCTGTCTCACAACAATGTTGTTTGCATAAGACGGGTTTGTCTAAGGAAACGATTATAGTTCAGGAAATAAAGCTCGAAAATAGTTAAAACCTCGCAATTTTTTCGTCCTGCATGTATCCATTTGAAATTTTAACAAAAGGTAGGTGATAGCCCAAGGATCAAAATCTATATCGAACCGAAGTGCGCTGAAGGGTTTTAGGGGTGAAAACTACACCTAATTGTCAAAAATTATAAAATAACATATTAAACCTGAATATGGGTAAGATTTGGTTTGAATTAGTTAAATAATGATTATTTTATACTTTTGAATAGAGTTCCATCATATTTCAACCCTTAAAAAGCAACCCTTGTTAGAGATTAATGTAAAAAAATTGCCAATTATAAAAAAATGATTTCGCCTTGGATCGATTTGGATAAAAATTTGGATTTAAGCTCAATTCACCCGCTGCTTTATAGTTTATGTCATGTCGACGAACCCTGATTGTTCTAAGGGGTGAAAACTACCCGTAATTGTCAAAAATTATAAAATAACATATTAAACCTGAATATGGGTAAAATTTGGTTTGAATTAATTAAATAATGATAGTTTCGTGCTTTTGAATAAAGTTCCATCATATTTCAACCCTTAAAAAGCGACCCTTATTAGAGATTAATATAAAAAAATTAGTAATGCGAGAAAATGATTTCACCTTGGAACGATTTGCATAAAAATTTGGAATTAAGCTCAACTCACCCTCTGCTTTATAGTTTATGTCATGCCGATGAACCCTGATTGTTCTTAGGGGTGAAAACTACTTCTAATTTTCAAAAATTGTAAAATAATATTATAAATCTTAAGATGAGTGAAATTTGCTTTGGATTAGTTAAATAGTGATTTTTTTATACTTTAAAATACGAATTCATACATTTTCAACCCTTAAAAATCAATTGTTATGAGTGCTATAGGTGAAAACAATTTTTTGCCAAAATTTTGCAACTTTTCAACTTTTGAAAATCACCCTTTACAACATTGCAGTTTTTATAAACTAATTTATAAGATATAAATTGAAAAAAGTAGAATTAAATACAAAAAAATTTATCAACATAAAAAGGCACCATATATTCTTATACATTTACATAAATAGTTGAAAATATTTACATTTATAGGTAAAACAATTGTAATATTAATTTTATTCGTCATCAATTACATCTTCATCGTGATCTATGTCATCCTCATCTTCAATTATTGGTGGACTATTATTGCACCCTTAACCTGAGCACCCAGAACAAGTAGAGTTACAGTATAAACCAACTTTTCTGCACCCACATGAAACACCGCATCCTTTTTTGCATTGCCAAAAAATAATTTTCAAAAGTTCATCGAGTGCAGGTTGTTTGTTCATGCGTACGGGTAATAACAAACCATCTTTGGAATACCATCCCCAATCTGTTGCTCTAATATTTTCATTGCCAAGCCATAGACATATGAGCAGATGTTTTATTCTGTTGTATGGGATTTCAAAATAAGAACGCTTAAAATTTCGAATGTATAACGCCCCACTAGCTAATATACCGGTTTTGTAGATTACTATGCTCCGAAATGTACTGTACTATACTAATAAAATTTTCCGGAAAAAACTTCACTGGTTTTTTTTAACGTATTTCCTTTAATTTTTAACGATAGAGTGTTTCTTCAAAAACGATTTGTAGAGGTTTTTAAGAGCTACAAGAATCTGTGAATTAAATCTTTTTGGAACCCTTGGTTTTTAAATGTGGTGAGTTTAAAGGGATCGAAAAAGATGGTGCTTGATCGTAAATCGATGCTTTAAACGGCTATATCTTGCCAAATATTAATTGTACAACAAATCTAAATGAAGGATAATTTTAGTCATTAAAAAAGCTACAATTTGGTAATTTGTATTTTTTTTATATATTCAGTATTTTCGGGCATATTTAAAAAAAGAAGGGTAAAAAATATGAAATTGTAAATCGTTTCTCGCTTTAAGCTGTACTTTTTATAACACAAAGCATTTTAAATGGGTCAAACTTCTTGGACATATTAACAATACATGTACAAAGGGAATTTCAGAAGGGTGAAGATCGATTTTAATTATGGGGGTGGTTAGGGGGTTGTTTTCATCGATTTTTTCGTAAAAAATGAGGTATTGACCTTATTTTCATCATAACTCACTCAATTTTTCAGCTAGAGTCTTTTTTATGATAGGTCTATTTATGCTCTTTAAAAAAGGTTTTGTGAGTTTTCTTCCAAAAATGCATCATTTTCCCGATATTTGATTTTGAATCTTTCAAATTTGGCATTTGAAGAAAACCGCTGAACATTAATAGGCCGTATTTCGGTTAATGTTATATCTCAAAAACATTTTAAAAAATGAATTGTATTTGTCTTTTTAAAAGCTACAAATTTGTTCTCTACAATTTTTTGGTTAAAATGCACCATTTTCGAATTATTCGCGAAAAATCGATTAAAAACGTGGATTTTTTCGTCCAAAAATTATTACTTTCAATCGCGAATAACTTGAAAAATATCATTTTATAAAAAAAATGTATAGCACATTTTTTGTTTAGAATCACTTTTTTAATCGAAACCTGTAGTTAAAACGTAAAAAAAAATTTCACCCCGGAGATGGGGTGGCAACCACCCCCTAGGCTTTGGCGCACTTTGGTTCGATATAGATTTTGATCCTTAGGCTATTACCTACCCTCTGTTAAATTTCAAGTCAATCCAGGGAGCACGAAATAATTGCGAGGTGAAATGCTTCATTTCCTGGACTATAACTGGTTTGACAGCATAAATCGTAGATTTATGTGTAGCTTTCAATTTTTATGAGTTCAGAATCCAGCAGCCCACTGAAGTATTGGATTTTTATAATATAAATATTTGACAATATTTTGTTGGCCAACCACCTACAGCAGAATTGAGCCGAAATACATTATATTCCTATGTTCCGAATTTATTTCGTTCAATCTGTATATCTAGATATATCTATTATATCTAGATTATGTTTTGTATATTATATGAATATTTTATAATATTTAATTGATTTTAAATCAGCTTATGGTAGCGTATTAAAAAGTAAATTGTTTAAAATCATGGACACTTTTAACAATCCTATAATGTTTAGCACACTAAACTTATAGTAGGTACACTAATAAGACTAATGATACATAAATGAATTAATTTGAAAAGTTCTATATACAGCGAACTTTCACATACGTTTAAAACATATATCGAACGATACTAAATTAGACAACATTTTCAATAAATATTCGCAATTTATGATCTTTGTAGAAGACTTGGAACTAACTATTTACACGAAACACAAGTTCTATTTCATTCAGCACAATTCATTCTCTATCCTGTTGCTGACCAGAATGTGGCTTCGACTATTTTTTTAAATAATTTTAAACTGTTTGTCCTTGTTTAGTGTAGTGTTATGTACAATTTTATGTTTATGATATTCTGCGATTGTTGGATAGCCCAAAATTAACGAAATGCCCCTGAAGATGCTCTAGGAAGCGAAAGTACTTGGGCAAGATTTAATTAATAAAACTGTGCTCGATATCTGCCTTTCATTTTATCAAAGTTCATTTTTTCGAGCATTCAACCTTATATGATTTACAAATGTCATGTCCTTTAGTTCTATAGAAATTTTTCCTATCAGGGATTATTACTGTTTGCTCTGCAATCTCTTTAAATTTCTTTGTATTTAAGTTATATTTCTGTTTAGACAGGATCAGTTATTGGTTGGAAAGTGGACAGCCGAGGAGACACTAATCTTTCATTTCATTTGGATCTTAAGGAGTCTATCACGCACCTAACTTTTAGACGCACTGTTAAAACTCATATCGAATTTGACGTAGAAGGTCTAGCAAAAGCTGCAGTAAACGGAGACGAACATGCTCTTGATATGTTTAGTAATTGGAGACCAAAAACTACTGCTAGAAAGTTTAAGGTACAAGATGGTGCAGATAATGTTAACTTTTTCGTCGCTACACAATCAGGTAACCTCAGATTTTCGAATATATGTATATTACATTAATGGGCCTTTCATTGGTTAATAGGTTCAATCTACTACATAAATACTAGCGGATCCTGTTCCGAGGTATTTAACGCAGAGGGTATTCCCATGTCTAATATATTATACCACCCATCTAAAGATGCCATGATAGTGATGATTGAGGGTTTTACTATATGTTATTTTTCTGTGGATTATCAGGGACATTTGTCAGAATTGGCGAAAGTAAAACTAAGTGGAAGAGTCCAAACTCGAAATGTCGGAAGTCAGGGAATCACATGGGCTGGTAGTAGCTGTTTGGCTATTTTAACAGGTAAATTAGAAATTCGCATTCAGAAATTCATCCAATACAAAAAAAATTTCAATTTGTGGTGATTCGATGATATAAATATCATCCATCCATCTAGTCGGTGTTCGTCCTCTGTTTCGATATGCCTCTTGTCTTGGTTGCCATTCAAGAAGCTTTCTGGTCTATCTATTATCCGTCGATCTTGCAAACATGTCCAGCCTAAGCCCATTTAGCCATGGCTATTTTTTCAACTGCATCCGCCACTCCTGTTCTTCTTCTTATTTCTAGTTTTGGTAGTTTATCACTAATGTTAATACCTAACATTGTTCTTTCCGTAGTGTGTTGTGTAACTCTTATTCTATTTATTGTTCCTTTGGCAGAGTTAGTGTTTCTGACCATATGTAAGGACTGGTAAAACACATTGGTTCAAAACTTTTCTTTTTAAACAAACTGGAATATTAGACTTGAAAATGTTATTCAATATTTTAAAGACATGTAAGACCTATCCGTATTTGTATTATTTCAGTTGCCTACTTATCTCGGCCTAAGCGAGTCTCATGCCCTAGATATTTATAAGCTACTACAAATGTCGATGCTATGGCTTTCAATCTCAATTTGCTCGCTGACTACCAGGTTCGTCATAATAAGGTTTGTCATTGAGGTGTTAATTTCAAGAACAATTGTTTTTGATGCTTCATTGAGCGTCCCCAGCATTTTTGTAGCTTTATCAATTTTATCAGATATTTTAACGATGCTATCGGCAAATCTTAGGTGGTTTAGATCCTCTCCATTTATATTAATTCCCATATTGTCCTCTTGTACCATTTGCTTGAACATATATTCGAGTAGAGTCGTAAACAATTTCGGGAATATATTATCATATATGTATAGGCCTAATTCCACCTTCTATTCGGAACTTTTTGGTATCTTCATTAAATCGGACACAAGCTGTATCAGTTTCGTAGATACTCTTAATCAAGGCAATATATCGGTAGTAGATGCGGCAGTCAGCCAATGCTCGAAGCATTTTATGATGATCTATATTATCAAATGTCTGATAATCTACGAATATAAGAAAAATAGGCTTGTTGTATTCTTTGCACTTTTCTATTAGCGTTTTAATAACTTGTAGATGATCATTTGTTTCGTATCTGGAACGGAACTCAGCCTGTTCGCAAGGTTGGTAATTATCCAGTTTGTTCACAAGCCGTTTTGTTATTATCTTCATGAATAGTTTAGTTAGTTTGTATGTATGGAAGAGCACACTAATATATATATATATATATATATATATATATATATATATATATATATATATATATATATATATATATAATACAAATCAGCATGATTAATATTATTAAAATTTTTTTAGGTGATTTAACAGTTCGTGTTTGGGATATAGAAACAAATGACAACTATGTTCTACCTACTCAAATGAAATTATACGACACGCAAGATAAATACCACACTGTTAATGAGATATTTACCTGTATAGCATATTGTACATTGAACCAAACACTTTGTGCTGGCACAAACATCGGCCGAGTGTATTTTTGGGGTAAAAAACATAATTTTACTGATCTCGAGAATCCCGAGGATGTTTGGGATCTAAATAATGTTAATTCAATAAGCGGCACTATAAAACAGGTGATCTGGGGTTCGCAAATGCTCAGACTACCTTTACTTAGCGTCAACTGCGTTACTTCAGTCTACATAATGAAAGAGCAGAGCATTTGCAGCACATTTTCGGAAAAAATTTGGGCAACGCAAAAAACTTCGAGTCAAGTGCTGGTTGAGAGTGACAAAGGAGATTTTTTATTACAATTAGATTCTCAAGTTACTGATATGTCGATTTCTGAGGAGATTTTAGCTTTTACTGATGGAAGAAGTATTCAATGTTATGATATTGTTTGGGACAGTGTTAATATTGACAGGGTTGAAAGTTCTTTAAACGAAGGAGGTAAGTTTTTCTCTTAAGGGTTTTTTTAGTTTTTAACATATCATTTCAACGATTTCGAAGGCATCCATAACCATATTGTCAGATTACTTACATAAACAATTTGCAATAAATAGAAACGACTAACTACTAAGTATAAGCTATGATCAGTCTCATTTGGTGACAGTTATTTCGAAGCTTTAAAATTACAGAATACCAGATCTGTACGAAAACGCCGAAGTCCCACTCATACAAGAAAATAACACTCTTAACAAAAATATGTTTTCACAGTTATACAAATTATTAAAATAAGAATAATAACTAACGGCATTATACAAAACCTTGATTTACATCAACTGGTTGAGCAGGCCGGATTTAGAAAAGGGTTTGGTACTAATGATTACTCGCAAACCATCAGAATAATGATTGAAAAACCCATTACCACATACCGTACCATTACCTATGTCATTTATTGGTCCTTGGTCCTTTTCGCCCTTCTACCACATTCAACGTCAAGATTAATAAAGATATAAAAATCTTGATAAATGTATTAGACAAGGTGATACTATTTCATAAAACTTGTTCACCTTAGCATTGGAAACTGTATTCAAACATCTGGATTGAGAGGAAACAGTTTTAAATATTGATGGTCTACGTCTGAGTCATTTGGGGTTGGCGGATGACATAGTTATAGTTAGTACAAGAATTTTTTTATTTCAAATCCTTTATAAAAGATATGTAATAAAATACCCAAACGTGCTATATCACAATTATATTACAGAACGTTTTAGGAATGTAAATTCCATCATTAGTGTAATGAAGTATACATGCTATGAGCCGATAAAATATATGAGTAAAAACATATTAAATGTTGTTAATTTAAAGTTTTGTTACATTATATATTATAAAAAATTAAGATGTTCAAGTTACCGTTGGAATTGGTAACATGGAGACGTATGACTATACATAAGGTTACTTGGTCCTGATACAAATGGTCTTCGAGGTTATCAATAGGTACAGGTTGAATGGCGACCAAGACCAAGGGTAGCCCGTTTGGGTATTTTATTATATACCTTTTATAAAGGATTTGAAATAAACAATTTTTGTGATACATGGTATACAGCCAGCTACAGGAACTTAGTTTCTTAGTGGATTTAGTACAAGAACTAGAACAAATGTTAAGACATGTTAAAACAATTAAATGAACAGTCAAATAAAATAGGTCTCATACTGAACCTTAGGGTAGCTTTAGACAAGTTGGGCTATATTCTTAAGAATAAAGATGTAAAGGGAAGAATCAACAAAAATAGGTCTACAAATGAATTATAATAAAACAAAAATTATGGCTAACCAGCAAGAAGAATTAATAATTACGATTGCACAAATAACTATTTGGATTTTTGGAGGTTTTGGATAAAACTTAAGAGGTCGCTGGTTAAATGATATTAGATAAATAATTATAAAGAAAAAATGCAATATTTGTTTATAAATAAATTAGCGAAAAATAGCAACCATCAATTGTGAATAAATTACGAAATTAACTGGTCTTACTCATTATTGTTATCTGTACAAAGAATATAGACTTACCCTCTGAAATATTCATGTCGTAAGATTCTTAGCCAGGGGATCTCGCTGGCACCACGTCAGGACGCCCGGATACTCCGAGGCTGTATAGGCACGAGAACCGATCACTGGTTGTGTTTGATATGAAAATATTTCGACGAGATCCACGGTAAGAAAATGCCAGTTTGGTGAAAATTGTAATAATTGTGCCGGTGATAAGACACGACTAACACAATCAGAGAGGTATTGATTAGAAGGCATATAATGCCGAATAGAGTGTGGTATCAGTTCTTGTATGTGTTTAATACGATTGACAATTTATGGGTAGAAAAATTAGCTCAAGGGAGCGCAATCGTAGAGTCAGATCAAATATCGGAAGATAGGAGGGAGAACCCTATGACAAAGGTGACTTGATCAACCAGCGATATGGCTGCCAAGAGTTCCAATCTTGTCGAGACAGAGCGAGCATGAAAATTGGACTAGACTCGTTGACAAAGATGACTAAATCTGTCAGCAGTATAGCTGCCAAGAGCTCCGATCCTGCGATAGATGTTCTTGTATAGAAATAACACCAGAAATAACACATACAAATACAGAGGTCAGATGTATCTGTTCAGATGTTTCATCATCCCAGGATACATTGAAGTGCTACAACGGTTATAGAAGACGTTTGACTAGCAAAAAGACATGGAAAAAGAATAAAAACAAGAGGATAACAACAAAAATACGACTGATTTACGAACGAATATCCCGCTTTGTACAGAGTTTGTCAAAGGGACGAGAAGAATGAGAAAAGAAGTCAGTCGTAGGATTTCATTTTAGGCCCAGTACCGTAAAAATGAAAAGTTCTTCTCTGTTAACGAACAACATGTCAAAATGTCTAAGCCAAAGCCCTAAAAATAAATAAAGTTGGTTGCTGACGTTGTCGATTTGTCTAGCGAAAAACCATTGAGCTTTAACAGCTAAGCAAGTGCTCACTGCAGAAGGTGAGTAGTATCAAAGAGAATCACTTGTAGCGTGATTCTGATGTAGGTCCGTCGAGATGGTTACTGGCCCACTATCTAGCGAAAAATCATCGTATCGTGCTTTAAAAGCTAAGCAAGTTCTCACTGCAAAGGTGAGTAGATCAAAGAAAATCACTTGTAGCGTGATTCTGACGTAAGTCAGTCGAGATGGCTGCTGGCCCGCTGCCTAGCGGAAAATCATCGAGTATTAAAAACTAAGCTTTACTCTTGTAGAGTTTTTAAGCGAAATAACACGAAGAAGTACCGTAAGTAACGATACGTAGTAAAAACTCTTGGAGAGGTTTAAAAAGTCCGATCTTCAGAAACCCCTTTTTATAGTTCCAAAATTCCTTATTTATTTTAATTTGTCGATACGTTTGCTTTATATCGCAAATAAAACAACAACGAAGATATCGAAAATTAAGTAAAGAACGAGATGCCCTTTTAGAGGTGTGTCGATTAGCGACACACCTCGAACGTCATATAGATTGGCGTCGAAGCTAGTACGAATTTTGGATAAAAGAAGCGAAAAAAAATTTGCTTTTTGAAAACTGTGTGAGAGTTATAAGAAATAGTCGATTTAAAATCGGATTCAGGAACCGGCATCATATGTCGAGAAGTAACAAAATCTTTCATGAATGCAACATATGTCTCTTTGAGATTCGGGAGCCTACTGAAGCGATTCTCTAGCATTCCAAACGAAGATATGCATAAGAATAACGAATTAGTAGCGAATATAAACTAAAAAAAATGATAAATAAAGAGGATTGGGTTGTAAAAACGGTGGACTGACAGAAAATCGGCTTGTCAACTTTTAGAAAATCAACAACTTAGAAATATCCTTCACTAGCTTGGTCGTGTTGGGACAAAACTAACAGGTGCCTACTGTTTTCTACTTCCCAAACCCTTTGTAGAAAAGACCTATGTCTGTATACATAGAAATAACGAAAGATGTGAACAAATTATAGAATGAGTCGTAAGACTCGCCCTTATAGAACATAATTGAAAATGATTTCTAAGGCCATAGTATGATTTGGTTCGCCAATAATTTTGACCAGAATCTACGAAACGAAGAACCAATTCAACCCCTATGAGTATGTCTATAAGATTTAATTACAAAATGCGTGATTTGGTAGATCACTGAAATAAAATTGGCTGTGGAGCCTGTATCTTGTAGGATACGAATTATAAGAACGATGCGAAAACATATTTGATCGGTATCAACTATGTGGAAAAAAATAGACGAGGACTTTAAATGTGGTTGTGTAGCAAAATAGAAATATTGGTATTTGAAGAAGTGGTTGTCTAAAGGAACAAGAGAAATTTGACGGTTGGTTAACAAATGAAGCAAAACGCGAGGTCGTGATTCGCAAACCGTGGTTCGTCGCTCCGAATGAGGTGGGAATCAGGCTGCATACACAAGAATTATGTGGATTAACCAACGGGAAAAGTTCTTGAAGCCGTTTAGTCACAAAAAATACAAACATTTATATGACTGATAAGAACCGTAACACAAAACACATTTAACAGCTTGATTAGTTACCTTAGGTTGCTTTGTGGCACTAACGAAACCACAGGTAACGGAGATTTTATCAAAATATTGAAATAAGACAATGATAATCGAAAGTGAGTAGAAGAAGTCAATAATTTTAATCGAATTAAATCGAACTTGATAAAGTTTAAAAATATTGCGCGAAGGACCGAATCACAGTTAAATTGAAAAGAAACAAAAAAAAAACAATTAATTAAAAACTATAGAACAAGTAAAAGAATATGTATATTTGGGACCACTAGTTAAATTAAATAAAGAAAATCAGACCGGAGAAATAAATAGGGGGATACGATTGGCTTGGTTATCCTTCGGAAAACTTTCCTATATACTAAAAAATAGAAAATATCCCCAATATTTAAAAACAAGAGTCTTCAACCAATATATACTTCCTATTCTCACCTACGGTTCTCAAACTTGGACGTTTACAAAGGAAAACATGGAAAAAATAGCAAAGACCTAAATAGCCATGGAAAGGCAAATGCTGAACATCAGGCTATCAGACAAGAAAAGAAATACTTGGATCCGTAACAAAACAAGTGACAGATGTATCAACGCAGACAGCAAAACTTAAGTGGAAATTCGCTGGACATACCATAAGACAGAAAGACGACAGATGGAATAAGATGATTATACACTGGAGGCCATATAGTTACAAACGAAAAAGAGGAAGGCCACAAATGAGATGGTGAAATGACTTGTAGAAACACGCAGGCCCGAAGTAGATACAAACTGCCTACAATAGAGAGACGTGGACAAAGGAAGAGGAGGTCTATATCCAAAATTGGACAGCAAGGGCTATATAGATAGATAGATAGAAACATGTACCAATATAGAGTGTATGACAAGTGTATCTCACCAGTGCGTACGTACGGATTTCAGACCCCCGCCTTTACAAATATATCTTAAGAACAGCTCAGTACAACTCAAAAAGCTGTGGAGAGAGTCATGCTCGGGATCAAAATCATAAACTTATCAGAAGAGCATCAACTACAATTTACTTCGGTCCAGAGCCGAACGTGGGTGTGCCCGCGACCGAAAAAAGCTTGGATCCCTAGGTGACATAACTCTAACGGGGAGAACATACCCGGTCAGGTAAATGGCACAATTATATACGCCAAACATGTGCTATTAGAGCTGAAGTCTTGCAGAAAAGAATCAGGAATCCGCTCAGAGTCCTAACAGGCTTTCTTACTAGACATGTAGCAGTCAAGAGATACCTGCATATAATGTAACTGTACAAACTCTGTCGCAGAGAACCTGAAACAGTCAGCTACATCTTGCATGACTTGCGAGGCATGGGCATGAGATCGCAGGCTGGTGATCTGAAGCATGAGAAAATACTTTTAGAAGACTGTCGTGTGACTCGAAAAACATATGGCACCCATCTTCTAGACCCATACAAGCTAGGAGAGAATTCTAGACTCTTGGAATGGGTATCATGAAGGAATGAGGGTCACAGTATGAGTCATCCAAAAATATGAACCTTTGCATCTTATCATAAGGGAACGATTTAAGGAAAACGTAGTTGCGGCAAAAGAAGAATATAATGAACTTAAAAACTTAAGACAATGGTACGGAAAATAGACATTGTTATTAGAACTTCTGTCAATAAAGTTATGATAGCGAATGTGGTAGCCAACATATATCCAACGATTGACAACGGTCATGGAACTAAAAGAAGTAGATACATATTATATATTTATTTTACATGTTGTTTCTTTTTGTTTAAAATTTTTCAGTAGAAGCTGCAAATGATGACAATCTGTTTTCTAATTAAGTGTCTTGAGTAAAATATGTTATATTTATAGGTAATAAAGATTTTTCGGTTCGTCGTTTGTCTACTTTTACCGCTGAGAGGGACTCGATAATAGTTTATCACAAGAATATAATAGCGATGGACGCAAAATCGATTTCGATTTTTTCTACAATGGGATCAATATTGTTTACAATAGCTGCTGGTATGAATGAGGGTGAAAATATCGGCATGGATGTCAGCTCCAATTACTTGACAATATTCACTATGGAGGGTTTCTTGAAGATCCATGATTTATCAGTAGGTAAGCTTGTAAATAAAAAGGAAGAATATCTGGTAGGTATTACAATACAAAGTTATATACCTAATCCTAAAACTATTATATAAAGGTAATGGTATTTTAATTCTAATTCTGGTTTATTCCTATTACATATAGTAGGTAATATAGGAGTATTACATCATTTATTGCTCTTTTTAATATTTCTCGATCTTTTCAATTAATGTAACATAATGAGTTACATGTAACATTACATTGAAGCTGAGTAAATATTTTTCTGAAGCTGTTAACTGGAAATAAGTTTACTATAAAAGAATGTTATTTTGACGTTTCAATTCCCACTTAGGAAATTGTTCTCAAAATAAAAAACATTAATAAATTGATTATTGTTTTATGTTTTAACCCTCTACTGTATGAATTATGTTTTAGATAGAAAAAAAAATTTTGTTTGCAAAAATTTAAGATTTTGTTGTTATAAAGAAGTATATTTACCAAAGAATTCACAACAATTTTCTAATAATTAAGAAAATAAAAAAATAAGCCGTATATGGCTTCCTATACAATAAACCTAAAATGGCTTATTATGCACTTAAACTAGTTATTGTTTTTAGAAGTGAAATTCTACGAAACAATTTCTATCTTTGTTTAAACATAAAAATACGTTGCATTTATTACATCTAACAAAAGATCTAAATTTACAGTCATTATAGCACAACAAACTTGTATCGTTCCACTGGGGAAAGTAGCCAATGGCGTCTATACGAACTTCATTGCTTGGATAATCTTGACGCAAAGTAAGCCACTTTTTGGATTTAGGAGTTTCTGCTTCAGTTATGGAACTGCTTGGTGAATTAACATTTGATAATGGTCGACCCCTTTTCTTTGGCAAACTATTCTTGCCCACCTTGCATACATTTTCTGCAATATATTGTTTGGAGTCAAATAATGGCATATAATTTACACTCTTTTGGCTCGACAGGATCCATGCATTCGCAATGCACATGTCCAACAGGTGAGAAAATATTTTCTTGTACTATTTTTTTGAACATGGAATCCAATAGATCAACTCCTCCTATATGCTTGTTATTAACATCTATTGCTTTAGGACAAGGAATTTCACGATGTTCTTTGGCTTCTCGAAAATAGCGCTCTCTGGAAGTAATAGGAGAACTACCTACGTATGTTGAGAGCATGGTAACTAGTTTGTTGTCGTACCAACAAAAACAAGAAATTTCTACTCCATCTATAACAGCAGTTTTCTCTACCATAGTACCTCGACCATGTTTTTTTAACTCTTTTGGTGTAGGCATTTGGCAGTTTGCTACTCTGTTATTTCTAACTGTCCCTAAGGGCAGCAAACCATTTTGTGAAAGAAAAACTTGTAGATTAGGGCTGTTAAACAAATTATCAAAACATACTTTATGATTTTTGTGCCGTAGGATTGTACTAGTTAGTTTTGTAACTATATTTCCACTTGCTCCAAGATCTGGTGCACCATCAGGTATACCATTACTTTGCTTTCCACCAAATATATCAAAATCGTAGCTGAATCATGAAACTTTACTAAGTACCAAGTTTTTGAATCCCCATTTCTTGTATTTCGTAGGATTGTATTGTTTTAGACTGTGTTTTGTTTGAGTAGGTATGATTTGTTCATCAATAGAGAGATACTCTTCTTTAGGAACTAATAATAATTGTTGACGTATGTTCTCTACGAGAGGTCTTATTTTAAAAAGTTTATCGTGACCGGGTAATCCAGCTCGTATAAACTTATTGTTGTCATTGAAATGTAAATCTCTTCCCACCGATTATAACTTTTAGTTTCGTATACAAGTCGTTGGCCTAAACGTGAGTTCCAGTAGAGTCTACTAGAAGGTAATTTTAAAATTGACATAAATACGCTGATTTTAATAAATTGTTCAATTTCATACTTCGTTGCCAGGTTTGTTGACGTTATCTTGCACTGATTTTAAATTTCACTCATTAACTATTAACTCCAATAAGTCGTCATTAAATAAGAATTTAAAAAAGTCTATAGGACTCTCCAATCTCTGCGTGCATTCTGGTCAAAACCAGCGGAATATATGAGCAGCGAAAGAGCTTGGATGGCTAGGGATCTTTTCGAGAAATGGCTGATGAAATTAGACAAAAAGTTTATAAGAGAAAAGTTAGTTTTTTTATTGACAATTGTACGGCCTAGAACACTATCCCACTAGTGGAAAATGTAAAAGTTATTTTTTTACTACCAACATGACTTCAGTTCTTCAGCCTATGGACCAGGGCATCATAATAAATCTTAAACATTTTAACAGACGTTTTTTGGTTGAAAACTTATTGATGAAAGATTAACACTCCCTTTAAATAAAGACATTCTTCAAGCCTCTCGAATGTGTAAGAAAGCTCTGACATCTCTCATGAAGATTTTGTCTACGTGGATGATTATGTTGCAGTGCAGCCGAAGTAACGAACCATATTACACAACTTTGGTAGACGGTACTTTGAAAGTAAAAATGATGTAATGTCACTCTATTTTTAGTCCACTTTAGAATACCTTAGAATTTATTGCCATTGTCATTGTCATACCGAGAAACTGAATTCTAAGAAGCAGCTAAAAATTTCGGATTTCTTTGGAAAAAGTTAAAGTCTGTCTTTTTTGTTAATGTAACAAACGTTCTTATTTTCAATAAATTTATTGAGACAAAATGATCTTTATTGTTTTAATGACACGTTCTCACTGTGCAATTTTTATCGACCAAGATTTGGCCGAAAATACCAATGAGAACACCTGCCATAATTACAATAATTGATCATTTTTATAGGTTGTAAATGTTTTAATTGGTATTCTTGGCCGAATTTTGTTAGCCCGTTTTTTCCATTGCCAAAATTCGGGTAAGAGTAGGAACGAAAACATCTGCAAAAGTGTTGATTTTTATCGTTTGCAGATGCTTTTGTAAGTATCACTTTTTTTTGTAGATTTTTGGATAATTCGAATTTTTTTGTAATTCGATTTTTTTTAACGGTCCCTTGAGATTCGAATTATCCAAGTTTCACTGTACAATAACTTTTGTTTTATTTGTATTAATTGGCATTCCATATTTTTTTAGTACTTCATTTCTATATTTCTTTGTAGTTGTTTCCCATTTTCTACCAATGTCCTTCTGAAATGTCTACTCTTTTTACAATTCTATAACGCACTTGCATTTTTTTTTCAGTTTTATGTTATATTCTTTAATTATTTCATCCATGTATATTATAAATAGCATCGGACTTACTTCCCCCTCCTTGTTTCAGACACTCGTTTGTAGTAAATGGTTTTGATATTCTTTTTTGACTGATGACATAAATCATATTGCTGTTGTAAATATTCTAAATTATCTTTATTATTTTGTTGCTAATACCTCTTTTCTCCAATATTTCCCATAATTTTTGTCTGTCAAAAGCCTTTTACAGGTCTCTGCCAGATACATCTTTTTTTCTGTTGCTAATATTTTTCCATTATTTTATGATAGTAAATATATGATCATGGTCGCTTCTGCCTTTTTTTAATCCGCTTTGTAATTTCTCAAGTGTGCTGTCAGTTTTTCCGGTTATACTTTTGTTCAATATTTTTTCGTATATTTTCAGGGCAGTACTTAAGAGTGTTATTCCTCTGTAGTTATTGCAATCCGTTCTATCGCCCTTTTTATATATCGGTACTATCTGAGCCTTCTGTCAGTTAATTGGTATATGTTCTTCTCTCCACATAGCATTAAATATCTTTAGTAATAACATTTTGTCCCATTTTTTCATCATTTTACTTGTTATTCTGTCATATCCTGGTGCCTTCCCATTTTTCATTTCTGCAATAGCTTCTTGCAGCTCATTTGTGGTTATAGGATCTACATTATCATCTCTGGTTCTATAATTTTTTTTCTTCTTGATAACAGTGAGTCTGTAGCACCTCGTACTTACTTTATCGTGTCCGGACATGTCATTCATAAAATTTCGGCCCAGTATCGGGCTACGTCGGTTCCATCTTTGTTGGCGAGCCACAAATCTTCAATGAGGACAGTTTCTGCATGTAAGAAGATGTTCCATATTCTGTGTTTCTCCACAGTCACAGTTCACATCATCTTGGTCTATTTTTCCCCTTTTTGCCATGTTTGATTTTACTGTAGCAACCCCCGTTCTTATCCTATTCAAGGTTTTCCACGTTTTAAAGTCTAGGGTTTGGCCGGTCCATTGAACCTGGGGAAGTGGAAAATACTCAGGCGGTTCATCCAGCACTGTTCCAAGAAAGCTTTTCCTAGATTTTAGTCGCTTTAGTGGTGTTAGAGCTTTGTATAGGGCATGCCGATCGTCCGCGATCTGTTTAATTTTCTCTATGTGTTCTGCAGCGCCTCTGCGTGTTGAGGGTTCTGCAAAACCCGCTGCTCTATATAGATTTGAAAGTGGCGTTGGTTTCATGCACCCCGTTACTATCCTGCATGTCTCATTAAGCGCAGTATCAACTTGTTTGGTGTGGGCAGATCTGCTCCAAACGGGGCATGCATATTCAGCAGTTGAGAAACGCTAAAAACGCTTAAAACGCCAGGACGTGCGCCCCATTTACTTCCCGTTAGCTTTCTGAGTATGCTGTTTCTAGTTGTTACTTTCCCTCTCGTTTTTATGCAATGTTGTCTGTAGGTGAGGGACCGGTCCAGAGTTACTCCAAGATATATAGGTTGATTTGTGTGTTCTAATGCATTACCATTCCACATAATTTGGAGTTTTCGCTTGGCTTCCTTTGTGCGAAGGTGGAAAGCGCAGACTTGGGTTTTAGAGGGATTGGGTCTCAGAGAATTCTGCAGGTAGTACGCTGTTATTGTTTTTAAGGCAGTTTCGAGTTTCTCCTCCACTTCTTCAAAACTATTTCCTTGAGCACATATTGCAAGATCGTCAGCATAGAGGAAGTGCTTGGTTTCGGTCGGAGTAGGTTGGTCGTTTGTGTATATATTGAAGAGCATTGGTGCTAAAACACTTCCCTGTGGGAGGCCGTTTTTTTGAACTCTCCACCTACTTACTTTACCCTCCAGCATAACGAAAAAACGTCTATTTTGCAAGGAATATACGACCTTTCCCAGGTGGTGGTCATTGAGAGTGTCGTATAAATTACGGAGCAATGTTTTGTGCCTTACTGTGTCATAGGCTGCTGTCAGATCTACAAAAGCAGCCCCTGTTATAAGTTTTTCTTCAAAGCCCTCTTCAATGTGTTCTGTTAATGCGAGGACTTGACCGGTGCAAGATTTGCCAGGTCTGAATCCTCCTTGTTGTGGGATGAGGTGCTTGTCGACATTTTTTTCTATTCTGGCGAGTATGAGTCTCTCGTATAGTAACAAGGCTTTTACTTTAGATTTCCTCCATGATTTTGGAATTTTGCAGGTTTTGCAGCACGTGTTATAAAATTGCAAGATCCAGTTTTTTGCTCCTTGGCCTAAATACTTTATTTGTTCACTGCATATATCATCCACACCTGCAGCTTTCCCGTTTTTTAACCTGTTCAGACCGTCGTGGAGTTCTTTTAGTGTAAAAGGAGTTCCTAGGTGGTTTGTCTCCGAATCCAATCTTCTCCTAGTGTTGGGGTCTGTTTATCGGTTAGTAGTTCTTCCATTCGTAAGGAGTTGAGTAGCGACTTGGTTTGCTGTAACCTTGCAAGGTGGTTTATGTTCTTTTGGATCACCGCTGAGTTTTTTTACAAGGTTCCATGCTATTTTGCTACTATGTGTCATGTCCATTTTTTCCAGGGTCTCAATCCACTTTTCCTGTCTGGCTTGACTTAGCTGTTGGAGTAGTACTGTTCCGCAGTCAACCGTTTCTTGGCTAAAAGGGTCAGTGGAATAGAGGGTTTCGTATGTTCTCATTAGTTCTTTGGACTCGCTGGACATCCCGAGAACATATTGTTGTCTACATCCTCTAGGGATAGTTTTTCTAGACACATTTTTGAGTAGCACCTTGTGAAAATATTCTCTCCATCTGTTCATTGTTTCATTTTCTTCTCTGAGAAGTTTGCTAGTTTTACTTTTTATTTTTTTGTCCAGAATTTTTTCCTTACTCCATAAGAAAAAACACTTCATAGAATAGTTTCTGATTCTCTTTACTGTTTGTTTCCATCTTTTCTCCAAATTCAGCTCATTTGTCCTTTTTTGCTTTTGTTACAAATTCTTTTACTAATATTCTGTATTTTTTATATTCTTCGCAGTTTTCTGGTGTTTTATTGTGTAGATATATTTCCCAAGCAATATTCTTCCTTTTAATTTGTTGTTTTATTTCTTCATTCTATCATGCAGTTTGCTTTTTTCTGTTGCTCTTCTTACTTGTTCCACATAGTTCTGTCGCTGTATTTATTATAAACTCTTTGAAGTAGTTCGATAGTTGCTCTACGTTTTGACCCTCTGTTTTCGTTGCTATTTTCTAGCTTTTGATTAATGGTCATCTGGTACTTCTCAGTATTTTCTTTATTTCTCAGTTTATATGACCTAATAGTTTTATATTTTTATACTAGTAGTGTCTATATCGTTCTGAGGAGACCTAAAGAGGTCGGAATACGTATAAGCTGCTTGTCGCTGCTCTGTATCGAATCAAAATCTAGTACCGTCATTATGTTTTATTTCTTTACTCCGTTTGGAGTACCAGAAATTGAATTTACTACGAATTTTGATCATGATGAACGGCATTTGGAATGCAATCTTAGATTCCCTTGCCGATTTATTCATCAAGCTGTTTGCTTTGCAAGTTTTAGAAAGCACGGTGGTTAAGATTTGAATTCGAATTCGCCAGGTAGAAATCGTATGATTTCTCTTTTTGTTCTTAAATGGCGTAGTTACGTCTGTATATAGTTATTTTTAATAATTATTGTCTACGACGGGAATAGATTTTGTTTCGATACGGAGTAGTGGCTATACCGTTCTGAGGAGACCTAAAGAGATCGAAATGCGTATAAGAGCGGCTTGTCGCTGCTCTGTATCGAATCAAAATCTAGTACCGTCATTATGTTTTATATTTTTGTTTCTTTTCTTGCAGTTTGATAATGTTGTTACTATTTGACGGATTTTGTTCTATTTTCATATCTACTAAATAGTGACCACTTCTTATTTCTACACCCTTTTAAGTTTTGTGTCTATTACGTTTCTTCTATTATTTTTTTTTGTACTAACATGTAATCAATTATCTATTTCTCTTTTCTACTTTTAACTTTTTTTGTGTATTTGTGGATATTTCTGTGTGCAGAAAAATGATTAGGTATTACTAAATTGTGGATCATACATTCCTGTGCCATTATTGCTTCGTGCTGTTTCTCCATATTTTCCGAATACCTCTTTATATTTCTGGTTATTTAGGCCTATCCTGCTATTGAAGTTATCTACTAAATGAATAGTTACCAACTACCAATAACAAAATTTGTTTAATTTATTAATGTTTTGTATTTTGAGAACGATTTCCGGATAGGAAATCGAAACGTCAAAATAAACTTATTTTAAAATGAAATTGTGGCTTATTTCCAATGAAAATAGTAAACTAAACAACTTGAAATTATTAATAAAATATTTTCAGATCCTCCGAAACTTCTAACTTCAGTTCGCAACATGTACGACATGGTGCCGGATTTCGGGGAAATAATCTTGGCAAAAACGAACTCTAGCGGCACTAAGGTAGCTTTTACATTAGCAGCAGCGAATTTAATACCTGATGGTAAACTGTACGTTTGGGATATAGAAAGCGACACAGTTACCTTCTATGATTTTAGAAAATACGATTCTTTGGAAAACCATAAAATCGAGAACGAAGAAGAATCTCAAGAAAAGACCAAAGCTGAACAGAAAATGGACGATAACTGTAAGAATAGGATTCCTGTTGGATTTTGTTGGGATGAAAAGGATTCGAGGTTGCTCATTTGTAGTGCGAGAAAGTTGAAGAGGCTAGTACAGAAAAAGGGATTTCTTGCAAGGACAAAATCAGGTAAAACCTATTAGTATCAATCAACATACAATTTAGATAACTATATGTCTATTAGTCGTCTTACAAGTCGCTTCCAGTATATCTTTCTATATTGTCTGGCTTAATTTGTTCTATTTAGTTGTTTCTTGGTTGACTTTTGAGAACAATTTAATATCATCTTAGTTGTGTGGCTTAAATACCTTCTATTATTCTATCCTCTTTTTTACCATTTTTTGCCTTGTATATCGTCTCCAATTTATTTCTACAGTTCTAAGCTTCGTTTCACATTTTTTAGGAGTCATATTATCCTATTTTAATCGTTATGTTGGGGCTTTGGTATTTTATTACGGTACAATTGGTCCAAAAAAGGCCTAACCCCGACATCCAAAGCAGAAGTATTCTTCCAACACCAAATTGTTCTATATGGTCCACATATATTGTTCAGTAAAAAGTTACACCATTTTGAGCGTCGTTTTTGAGGGGCGTAAGAATTCGGTAAAATAGCAGTTTTTTACGCTTTTCGTAAAGATTTCTAAAACTATGTGGTTTAGCGTGAACAATGTTCTATAAAAAAATGTTCTACATTAAATTTGAAACAAAAAAAATTCTATGCATGATATTTCTAAAATGAATGGTTCCAGGGAAGTTACGGAGGGTGTACATGTAGACCATGCTACATAAGATTGCGAGAAATTAGTAAACAAATTTGTTTTGAAAATTGTAAAAGTAAACTAGTATTAAAAATGTTCAAATTTACAAACAGCAAAAAAAAAATAAGTACGAAATATTAAAACATTATTTTGTTCTTCTAAAACATAAATCCGTAACTCTATAAAGTGCCTTCTAACTTAAAATAAATATTCCTAATTTCCAATCACATTTAATTGTTTTTTTTAATATCATTTGTATATACAATTTTGTAAAGATTTTTACAAAATCATTTTTGTATCTCAATCTCGCCGTTTCATTTACGACTGTATTCGATTTAAAAATTGTAAATTAGTAAATACACAATAGAATCAATTTAAAACAATGGTCTGGAGTATATAGTGACATGATCATAGATCAAGTGCTGATGAGGTCATTAAAAAGCATTGGTGGATTGACCGAATGCAGAGAAATTAGAACAACAATTGCAACTTGGTTCAACTCCATGCCAGTATGTTCTAGGATATGCGAAGCAATTGAAGAATTCACTGATGTGCGCAGAGTCTCTGCAGAGCAGCACGTGGAGCTAAGAGATGCAAGGCAGTAAAGAAAAAGCAAGGACTTGCAGACTTTTAAATCTTGGCTAGAACACAACCCGTTTTCTAAAACACCTGAACTCTCTCCTCCTTATCAACAGGGATTATAGGAAATCAAAACGTGAACTGTGATAAAGCGTTTGAAGTAGGAATCCTGGCTTTGAAAGACATTGAAACCAAACATTTAATGATAAACACTTTTAAAGAACAATGAAAATAAATAATACCGTGGTATGTGTAAACCCAAACACTCTCCTACATTGGATGGTGTGCACAGTAAGAGTGATGAGAGACTTCAAGAAATATTTCAATATAAACTAGGTGCGTATACTTAATCTTTGTTCGACGAATCTAGCTTGATGAGAAAAGGATAGAAATCTTTAATAGTTACTACCAATGTCATACATGTCATACATCATCACCTTCTTCATCGTCTTGTCTGGCGACGCCCAGCTACTTTTAAAAAGATTTGCGAGCAATACAGAGACTACGTAATTACTCATTATGGAATAGCAACTGTTCTATTTAATGGATATCAGCAAGGAAATACAAAAGATAAAGAACACCAATTTTTGGCTAACGCCAACAATAAAATTGGCCTTATTTGACTTCTTACAGTACACTTGTAAATATGTGGTTACACTGTTCATCAAGCACTGGGTGACGCTGACTTATTAATAGTTTTAACAGCTATTGTTGAAGCTAAGAAAGATGTTAAATCTTGTTATATTACGGACCTACTAGTTTGGTTAACTGTCAACGCACCATCAGAGAAGAAATTGAAAATAGTAGTACCAAAGAAAAGCAATCTGCAGAAAAAAGTCTACACTAAGTAAGAAAATTCAGCGAGGAATTGGGAATATGAAGGATGTATACCTTGCAATATACGCCTCTACAGGATGTGAAACGATATAAGCTATCTACAAGATATGGAAAATTACACCGTATAGGAAAGTACCAGCCAATGATGCTCTTCGTAGAAAATTTCTAATCTTCAACGACCCTAAAACTAATTTCAGTGCAGTAGCTGACGCCGGAAATCATTTGCTTCTTGGGATGTTTGGTACCAAGAACATAAAAGATCTAGATTGTTACAAATTTTCCATGAAGATTATTGCAAAGCAACCTATACATTCTTAGTTCAAGTTAGCTGCACTACCCCCTCTTCAAGAGCTTCCAGCCAGCATTCGTTCAAAACCTACCATCAGGTACACCATGGCTGTATGAAAAGAAGAATCCGCTTGAGTGATTTTAGAAGAAGATTAACGAACACCTGACACAAATTACAACAGTATGCGCTGCAGCTCACAAGGAGTTACTTTTTCTCATAGTGTGTAAAAAGACGAATGCATCCGTAACTGTGAGTGTAGAAAGAGGGGCCTAAACAGCTCAAGCATAAATATGCTGCAATTGCTCAGGCCTAGGATGTGATAATAGGAACACAACCATTATAGATGAAGATGTAGAAGAGGAGGATATTGTATTTGAAGAGGACTGAAACTGACTTGAACTGATGAATAAATTTCCCTTCAAACGTATTGCATTATAATCATCATTATTATGCAAGAAATATTGTGGTTATTTAAAACTAATTCATTGAAATTTACTGTTGGACAGATATTCATGCGACATTGTCCATAGAAAGTTCAGGGTGAATTTCTCTGCAATACAAGTTTATATGGCCTAGGAATGTGAATGCCTCTTTTCCCTTAAAAAGTAGCTTTACTTAAGAAGGTAGTGAGGTTGATGTTGCTTTAAGGGCTTATTACTAACATACCATCGGTCATTGAAATAGCAAATTTCATATACAAAACGCAAAAAATTAGTTTCAACAGTAATAATATTATAATTTGCTCAAAAATATAGAAAATGTGCAATACCTCCACTTTTACACTCTCTGTAACTCAGGAACCATTGATTTTAGTACAATTATGCATAGGACATAATTATGCATAGGACATAATTATGCATATTGAAAATGCTGTGCGAAACAAACAATCAATTTCTAGACTCACTCGTCAGACTCTTTAACAATATTTATAACAGCTGGGAGTTTCCTGAAGACTGGCTAGAGTAAACTTTTGTTGCGATACCGAAAAAACCAAAAGCAAAGTCTTGTGATCAACATCGGATGATAAGTCTAATTAACCACATTTCGAAGGCATACACCAAGGTTATTTACAACAGAATAAGCAAAAAATGCGAGGATAACATTGGAGATTCGCAGTTTGGGATTCGGAATTCTCTTGGGACAAGAGAAGCACTTTTTAGTCTACAGGTACTCATCCAGCGCTGCAGAGATATGAACACAGACGTGTAGATATGCTTTATAGACTACGCAGAAGCATTCGATATCGTAAAGCACGAAAAGATAATTGAAGTTCTCCATAAGATCGGAGTCGACTACAGAGACATTCGAACAATAGCGAGTCTCTATTGGGGTCAAACAGCTAAAGTGAAAGTAGGATCTACATTGACCAATAATATTGAGATCAAGAAAGGGGTACGACAGGGCTGTATCTTGTCTCCTATTCTCTTTAATATATACTCAGAAGAAGTATTTAAGACAACGCTGGAGGAAAGCACAGAAGGCATAAAGATATATGGAGAAATAATTAATAACATAAGGTATGCTGATGACACTGTGATTCTAGCAAGTAGCATGGAGGAACTGAGTTGTCTAATGAATAAGATACAAAAAACAAGTGCACAATACGGACTCAGACTAAATATCACAAAAACCAAATGGATGTTAGTAAGCAAAACCCAACAACCACCACAGCAACTGATATTAGACAATGAAAGAATTGACCACGTGGATTCGTACATCTACTTGGGAACAACAGTTAACTCAAATTGGGATCAAGCGAAGGAAATAAGTATAAGAGTAGAAAAGGCAAGAGCATCGTTCACTAGCATGAAGCAAATTTTCACCTCTAAAAGCCTCACCCTACCTCTCAAAATTCGACTTCTGAAATGTTATGTATTCCCGGTTTTGTTACATGGAATGAAGGCGTGGACAATGACCGCAACATTGATGAAAAAAGTAGAGGCCTTCGAAATGTGGGCTTATCGACATATATTACGTATATCCTGGACTGGGCACGTGACCAACGAAGAGGTACTACGCCGGATAGGTAAAGAAAGAGAGGTAGGAATAAGTATAAAGAAAAGAAAGTTGGAATACTTGGTTCACGTTATGAGACATAATAAATATAGAGTACTACAGCTGATCGTTCAAGGGAAAATAGACAGCAGAAGGGGTCCAGGGAAGAGAAGACACTCGTGGCTCCAAAACTTGTGGCAATGGTTCGGATTGTCATCTGCTGAACTATTCAGATCTGCCGTAAACAATGTCAGAATAGCCATGTTGATTGTCAACGTTCGGAACGGACAAGGCACATGAAAAAGAAGATGCATAGGACATTTCTTATTATAAATTTGATGTAGAACTTTTTTGTATAGGTCCTTCTTCACGCCAAATCACATAGTTTTTTAAATATGTGTGAAAAACTAAAAAACTACTAATTTACAGACTTCTTCCCCGACTCTCACTCAAACCCCACGCTCGAATTAGTGTAACTTTTTACTGAACTATATGTGGACCATATATAACAATTTGGTGTTGGAGATTAACTTTTACTTTGGATGTCAGGGTTTGGATCTAATTATACCATACTATTTTTCCTAATCAAAGTGTTTTGGTCGCAAAGTATATTTTTTATATAGGCTATTGTTCTTGTCAAAATTGACTAAACGGCAATGTTAAAATCTTAAAAACCAAATATCCAAGGTGTCCCCAGTGGTAAGTATTAGTTATTTTTTTTCTTTAGGTTTCTGTTCCCATTGGAGATTGGAAATCATTATTGATATTAACTTCCGCATTTGTAAAGAGTTCTAATTGAAAGGTGCAGGGAATAAAGGCGCAATGTCACTATTAATACATTTTTCAGAACACTATATTTTCTATTTTTTTATTTATCCTAAACTCCTTTTTTTTAACAGGTTGCTAAACAATTTATAACAGTTAAATGTTAATTATATTAATTTAATAAAAAATATTTTAAACTAGTAAAAAAAGAATGTTACTGCTAGCGCACAAAAATAAACAAGGCCTTTATTATCTTTTATTATAATTATAAAACAATATATTTAAGAAGAATACTTATTTACTGATGTGGTAAAGATTCAAGCATTCAAGTATTTAAAGTATTTAAACCATCTAAGATATGCAGATGACGTAGTACTAATAGCCGACAGCTGGAAAGAACTGAAGACGATGATCGATGAGTTTCATACGGAATCCATAAAAAAAAGGACTGAAAATGAATCTGAGTAAAACTAAGCTAATGTCGAATAAAGATGATCAACCGACGATAACCATCCAAGGAACAAAAAAGGAACATGTAGAAGAATACATATATCTGGGTCAGAATATCAAGGTAAACAAAGAAAACCAAACTACCGAAATAAGCAGACGAGTAAGAATGTGTTCGATTCTTGTATCTTGTATCTTGATTCTTGTATCTCACTAATAGATCGGCAAACGAACGAAGTAATCCGGAACAAAACAAAAATAAAGGACGCCGCGAAACAAGCAGCTAAATTAAAATGGAAATGGGCTTGACACAACGAACGTCTCGAAGATGGTAGATGGAACAAAGAAGTCGGAAACTGGCGACCGTACGATGCGAAGAGGCCAAGAGGAAGACCTCAAATGCGCTGGAGCAACGATATCAAAAGAGTCGCAGGACCAATGTGGAAACGCCTAGCACACAACAGGGATGAATGGCGAGAAATGGGAGAGGCCTTTATTCGATAATTCGGATAAAAAAAGGGCTATATAAAAAAAAAGATTCAAAGTACTGCTGAGCTTCTTTGGAACATAATGCACTGTCATAGTCGAGACACTACGTCTTCAAATTTTTCTCTAGAAAGAGGTAGCAGCTGCTGATGAGATGCTAAAGGTAACTGGAGTGTCATTGGTTTTTTTTACCCTTTGAAATCACTGTATTTGAAACGAAATTTCCATAGTACGTTGGACGATGAAAAATCAAATGGGGAGATTTTTGTTTAATTTTCAAAACTTTTATAGGTCTTGTTTGAAATGGACATTTTTTAAAGAATTTGTTATCAAAATACTTAGTCCACGATTTCATCATATTTTGGTCAACTTCAATCACATCAAAAGAAAATGGTTTTTTTCTTGAATTCCGGAAAACTTCAGCCCATTCCTCTGGTAATTTAACTCTTGATTTTTTATTTATAATCTCCATATTTTTATCTGTTTTCATGTATGAATGCCCTGTTATTGGAAAAAATCATTTGTATGGTCTTAAATCTCTTCTCTATGTGAACAAGATGATACAGAAATCTTGCAACTGTATAGTTTTTATTTTGGCCCCCACAAGAATCTGAGAATATACACAACTCTTCAACTGAAGGATCAAGGAAATTATGGACGAATTGGTGAAGTAGAGAAGTCACATCGTCTGCGCCTTTTTTCCCTATTGTCTGTGGGTATGTATAAAAAACACTTTTATTTAAGGCTAATAGGTACGTGTACGTTTAACGTAAATACATATAATGGTTTTTTGTAATAGACATCATTTGCTGAAATGTTAGGCACTGGCAAGTTTTTTTGGTAGTCAATGCAAATGCTTTCGATTTTTTCATTGGTTTTGCATAACCTTTTCATTTGTCGTTTTGTCTTGTAAAAAGCTTCTGCTTTCATTTTATGAAGTTTGCTTGCAGTGTGAAGGTTTTTCATCTGTTTTTCCAGAACAAGAATTGATTCGCTTGCAGTGAGGGGGGCAAGTTAGCCTTTTCTTTCTCGAGTGATTTTAGTTTTGCAACGTATTCATCACACTTACTGCAACTATCTGTTCGGGGGTACCCGAATGAAATACTAAACTTATTTGTGAATAAAGTTCTGTAAGATTCGTAAGAAATGGGGGCCATCTTTGTACATTTCCATGTACATCTGCCACAGTTTTTTAACGTTTAATTCTTTAGATAGGTACACTTTAGAAGAATCCTTTAAGCTATAATGGGATTCTCTTTCTTTAAAGGAAGATATGTATTCCATCACAGGTGCAGTAATAGCCTCCTATAGCTTATGAGGGCGATTAGCGAGTTTACCTCTCTTGTTTGTAGGTGCCTCTCCAGTTAATTTCAAAGATCGTTGCAATAACTCTGACTTCTTTCTTTCGATTCCATGAATAGACAGAAAAGCTTTAGCGCAGATAGGTACGTCAGTAGTAACTTCGTCGGAATTTTTAAATTAAACTCTGTAAAGATGTGTTGAGTCATGTAATTTTTCTGGGTCGGTCAAATCTTTTCTTGACCTCCGTTGTTTAATTTGTAAAACTGTAATAAGAACACATACTGCTACTGCTGCATACTGCTACGATGAATTCTTTAGTGCAATTAACAGCTCAAAAAATGACAAGTTGTAATCACAGTGGCGCCACACGAAAGTGACAATGCGCTTTCATTCCTAGATTCCTAGAACGCATTCCTAGAAAGGTATTGATCTGAGCCTTTATAGTACTCCTAACATATAGCATTATGTTAGGAGTTATTGATTCCTAACATATAGCATTGTTATTAATTTAATTGTTGTATTCAGATTATTTTATTGTCCACTTTACAAGCCATACAGCAATGGTATTGCCATAAATAGCATGTTTAACCTGCTTAATATTTAGGTATTTACGAAATGTCGTCAAAGATGTATTTAGAAACTGTACTTATACATATTTATTTTCAGATGAAAAGAAAAACCTTTCGGACGAAGACAGCATTCTAATAACGATGTTTGTTTCTCCCGAAAATAGCATCAGACTTCACGATATCAAACCAACTGATCTAGAGATAAAACTTCTAGCGTGTGTTGCTCCTTTTATAGTGTCAGTGCAAAAGCTAAGCATAGTCAGAGATATTATGAGTGACTTTGTGGGTCTGGAAAAGTGTGACGGTGCTACCAGCAAAGCTGTCCTGGATTTTAGTTACCATTTGTCTTTAGGTAAATTTTTAACTTATTTAATAATTTAAAAATTATAAAATGCTATTTAAACAGTATTACTTTTTTCTCACACATTATCTTCTAATTTTACGATAGTGAATGTATGAATGTATGATATAAATGAATGAATATGGAATACATTTTGTAGATGACTTTTTATATCCTGTTTTAGTAAACTTAACACAAAATCAAACTGAAGTTCACTCAAGCGGAAAAACTCTGGAAACTTAACGTCTTCTTCTTCTTCTGGTTCCTATCCGTTTCGAATGTTGGAAATCATATTGGCAATCATAACCTTGCTCGCTGCGGCTCGAAACAGCTCCGTTGAGGTTTTCTTAAACCATGTTCTTAAATTCTGCAGCCACGATATTCTCCTTCTACCGGGTCCTCGTTTACCTTTGACTTTATCTTGCAATATAGACTGCAGCAGGGAGTAACGGTGCTGATTTCTCATAACGTGTCCCAGATATTGCGATTTTATGCATTTGATCGTAAAAACAATCTCTGGTTCCTTCTTCATTTTTCCTATAACTTCCTTGTTCGTGATCCTTGATGTCCATGATATTCTCAGCATTCTTCTATAAAGCCACATCTCAAATGCTTTAAGTTTTTTAATAGTGGTGTCTGTAAGCGTCCATGCCTCCGTCCCGTACAACAACACAGAGAAAACATAGCATCTCAAATGTCTCATTTTTGTATCTAGGGATATGTTGTGACTTTTGAAGATGGCGCTCATTTTGTTAAAGACCGTTCTTGCCTTTATTATGCGCCACTTTATTTCCTGTACATTGCTCCACTGTCCGTTTATAATAGTTCCCAGGTAGCAATACTGTTTTACTCGCTCTATCTCATATCTATAACGTCATCTCATGATAAATCGTTGCATATCAAAATTTGGCAGTACCGTAAAATGGGGTTACTTTACATTGGGCAGGGTAACTTTGCACCAAACGTGTAAAAGTATATTTTCTGTAAACCTACGCTCAATTTTGTTTATATATTTGCACTACCTCTAGAGCACATAGGCAACATCGTAATACGTGAGTAAGACGCGCGCGATTGTCTCTGCGGTCACCAGTTATCTATCAGCAATGGTTAAAATATTAACCTCTCGAAAATCTATTATTTTCTAACTTTACAAAATCATACTGTGCAGACAGTCCCAGCGGACACAAATTGGTAAGTACACGTCTAATGGCATATACCATAATCGATTTTGATTTTTAGTTGTTAAAATAACGGTTTTATTAATAACAAAAAAAAACATTGTTTACATGTGCACTTAACACGTGAAATTGGGTTTATTTTACACCGCCAATTTGCAAGTGTTGCAAAGTATCCCCAATAATTAAAGGTTAATAGGAAAATGGTTTTTAGGAAATGCCCAGACGTTATAAAAGGAAACTGGGATCTCGCAAATATGCAGACTACTCAGAAGAAGATTTGAAATCGTGTCTGTCAGCAATAAAAGATGGCATAAGTAAAAGAGTTGCCGCTGTATCTTTTAACATTCTAAGGAGAACTATTTTTTACAAATTAAAAGCAGTATACGCTGGAAAACCTGAATACCCATCAATATTCTCTTATGAAGAGAAAAGGTGCTTCATACACTGCATTCATAGCCTTAGTGATGCTGGATTTCCTGTTACTGGAATGGAATTACGACAAATACTCAAGACTCATTTAAATCGCAAAGGAAAAAGAAATATCTCGCTTTAAGGATAATACTCCTGGTATGGATTGGGTCAAATTATTTTGACTCTTTAAAGGTTTAAAAAAATCAGGAAAAGAAGGTTGTTTTAGAAGACAATTTGTCTTTTCATATTAATGTTGAAGTCTTGGATTTGTGTCGAAAACACAACATTCATTTTATGTGTATATAATATATAACAAGCGAGTTTTCTATAGCTGGCGCCGCTTCTCGCATCCTAATTTCCAGCGTTTTCTGTCGAAGCAATCTTCAGTTGTTAGATCTCTGGCGGTCATTGCATCGTCGACATCGTCTCTCCAGGATCGTCTTGGTCTACCTCGTTTTCTTCTAGTTGGCGGAGTCCATTCTTGTTTTATAAATTCTTCTTTTATTCTCTTTTGTTATTTTTTTATTCCATAATAGTCCGTGTAGCTGTCTGGTGGCTGATCGTGCTTGGCCAATCCTGGAATGTATTTCTTCGCTACTTCCTGCTTTTGATGTTATTTGGACTCCCAAGTACTTGAAATTGTCTGTTGGTTTTATAGTTCCCATTTCGATTTGTACTTTCTGGTTTTTCTCCTACAACTAAGTACTCAGTTTTTTGTATATTAATTGTGAGGCCCCATTTGGTGTACTCATCTTCCAGTTTTCTAAGCATGTAGCTTATATCACTCTCGTCTTCAGCTAGAATGGCTTGGTCGTCAGCGAAGTGTATCGTGTACAATCTATCATCTCCGATTGGGATGCCCATATTGCAGCACTTTCTTCTCCACAGTGAGAGTGCCTCATTTAGATATATTTTGAAGAGTGTAGGTGCTATGCAGCAGCCTTGCTTTAGGCCCTTACTAATGGGAATTTCTCTAGTTAATCTATTTCCAGTTTTAATGTTGGCCGTCATATTTTTGTAGAGCTGTTGTACTGCTTGTATATTTTTTTTGCTTATTCCTGTTTTTCCATTGCTACCCAAAGCATTGAAAGTGGTACACTATCGTATGCCTTTGTCAGATCTATAAAGACTATATGAGTTGAAAGGTTATGGGCTAATCTTTTCTCGATAACTTGCTTTAGAGAGAATATACTGTCCATGCAGGACCTGCCTGCAGGAAAGCCATTCTGTTCTTCTACATCTGTCATCTCTTTTTCAATTTTATTTTTTATTATTTTTCCATACAGTCTTAAGAGTGAATTTATGACACTTAGCCCACTGTAGTTTGAACAATTCTTTCTATCTCCTTTTTTTTGTAGATGTTGTTAATATGTGCTTTTGTCCACTCCGGTGGTAAGTCGTGTCCATTATAGAATAAGATGAAGACATACGCCAGTAATTTCCGTAATACTTGTGGGCTATGTTTTAATAATTCATTTGGTATACCTTGTGGTCCGCATGACTTCCGATTTTTTAGAGTTCGTATTGCATTCTCGACTTCCTGTACTGTTATTTCATCGTCTTCACTGAATTCCAGTTCATATGTTGTTGTACTGATGTTTGTGAATTGAGGTCTTGTTTCAGTCAAAAGTTGTGAGTAGTGTTCGATCCAAGATTTTTCTTCTATTAAATCTATTCTACTCGTTTCTTTTCTGTGTGTTCTCAGATTTTTAACCGTTTTCCATGCTTCTTGATCTTGTTGACCCTATATATTTGTTGAGTTCTTCGCATTTACTTTCCCAGGAAATATTTTTTACTTTAGTTACTAAATTTTTTACTTCTCTGTTTGATCTTGCATATGTTCGTCTATCATCTGGATTATTTGTTTGCAGCCACTTTTGATATGCTTGTTTCTTGTTATTTCATGTCTTCACTGAATTCCAGTTCATATGTTGTTGTACTGATGTTCGTGAATTGAGGTCTTGTTTCAGTCAAAAGTTGTGAGTAGTGTTCGATCCAAGATTTTTCTTCTATTAAATCTATTCTACTCGTTTCTTTTCTGTGTGTTCTCAGATTTTTAACCGTTTTCCATGCTTCTTGATATTGTTGACCCTATATATTTGTTGAGTTCTTCGCATTTACTTTCCCAGGAAATATTTTTTGCTTTAGTTACTAAATTTTTTACTTCTCTGTTTGATCTTGCATATGTTCGTCTATCATCTGGATTATTTGTTTGCAGCCACTTTTGATATGCTTGTTTCTTGTTGTGTACTGCATTGGTGATGTCATTTGTCCACCACAATGGAGTATTCTTTTTGTTCTTTTGGATTGTGCCGAGCGCTTCGTAAGCTGCTTCATTGACTTTATTGATTATCTCTTTATAGGTACTCTGGGTTGAGGAGTGGATCAGGTTTGCCAATTTTTGGCTAAGTCGCAGCTTATATAAGAATGATGTCGAGTCGTTTTGCAGTGCATCAATATTGTATTTAAGTAGATTCGATTCCAGGGGTTTTGATTGAGCTAGTTGGTTGTCATTTTGATGTAGTAGCCGAGGTCGATACTGTAGGTAACATTTTGATCTTACCATATAGTGGTCAGTTCCGCACTCCGGTCCTCTTAATACTCTTATGTCTTTAACTTGTATGTGTGTTTCTTGTTTTGTGATGACATAATCTATAATTGACTTTGTGTTTCTCGTTGGTTGAACCCAGGTGTACTTATGTATGTTTTTATGTTGGTAGAATCCGTTTAGGATTTCAGAGAGTGCTGTTCACAGAATTCGATTAAGTGTTCCCCATTTTCATTTGTTTTAGCGTCACCATATTTTCCTACGACTTTGTCATTTATTTTTGTTCCTGTCCAAGCGTTAAAATCTCCCAACAGCACAATTTCTTTGCGGCTATTTATATTTTCAATGAGTTCCGATAAAGTTTCGTAGAATATTTGTTTAGCCCGTGGAGATTTGTCAGGCCGTGGAGTTTAGGGGTCTACATTGTAAAAATGACATGCACCCTATCCTCCATGCTATGGCATGCTGGACGAGCCATACAGTCTGTAGTCGACACCCCGAGGTATGAGCGGGAATACAAAGTGTATCAATACTCATATGCTTATGAAACGTACCTGGCGGATCATAAGGGCCTTCACATTTTGCTCTTTTTCAACTTGTCTGGAGTGAAATGTCTTTAATCTTTCCTATCGGCCTCTCTTGGCAAACTCTTGTTTTTCCGACCCCGAGTGGCTATTAGGGTAATCCGAGGACGGACGGGTCACTATAATTCTGTCTACTACACTCTACTACTCTTCTCTCGACTAAGGGAGTAAACCCTAACAGAAAATCCTGGTCCTCCTGGTAGGGGGTTGGGACGTAGGGCCTGCTCCTCTACACCCGTGAAAAACTTACTGCAAAAAATTCTAAAATCCAGCCTCGGAATATGGACGGGAAAAAACGAAGACGACGTAACAAACGAACAAGGACTTTGAATATAAATACATGGAATATCCAAGGGTGAAGAACCAAGTCAGACGAAGTCATGGCAGAAGTAAAGAAAATAAAATCAGATATCACTGTTCTTACCGAAACAAAGAAAAAAGGCCAAGGTAGTGAAGATATATTTTATACATATTTATAGTGAAGTAGAGAAAGACAAAAGAGCACAAGCAGGGGTATCAATATTGATAAAAAAAGACTTAAAAGGAAACCTGAAAAGCTGACAGCAGATTTTATGTGTATGCCTTCAAATATCTCCCACGTTACACAACCGCTAGATATGAAAAAGGCCTGGAGGGAAATTTTATCTGAATATAAGGAAACTCATGTGGGGAGTAGATAAAATGTACTTGAGAAACAGCATTTTCCAACGCTTTTACGATCATTAATCGAAAAAATTACAAAAGAATAGCGGTGAGATATTAAAGTCGGGATTTAGGAAATGTGGTATCGTTACTTGTGATATAACACTGTGAAATTAAGTTCGTCAGATATCGAAAACACTTTCATTCGATATTTAAAAGATAAAAGAAAGGAAGCCACCTAGTTTAAGACACGTGGGAAGAAAAAGAAAATAAATGTTCCAGCAGGATAAAGTATTGCCTATTCTGAAATAAGTTTAGAAGATCTAACTGAAGAATCTACTTCCACACTTCATCAAGCTGTTGAGCCAGAAGTCGTAGATGATTCAGAGAACGATATTGCTTTGGACGACCACTTTCCAGTAGGCAGGTATTCATCAGATGATGAAATAAATAAGCTGCAAGAGATGGAAGAAGAATGAAAATTTAATGAAAAACTCGCCTCAGGTTCTCTTGTAACAAATATTGCCGAAAAAGTTAAAAACTCTTCATTAGATCATGTTAAAAAATATACTGGTGAGTACGTTTTATTTGTCTATGAAGATCATGTTTACAATGGAGTCATAACAGCAATAGAAAATGACGGAGCGATGATCAACGCCATGTCAAAATCGTTAAAGTTTTGGAAATGGCCAGAAAGACGCGACGAAATATGGTATTCGTGGGACAATGTAATTGGCGCCATAAATCCTCCCAAGAAAATCCGTAAAATAGTTTCGAAACACAATTCGGATTTCTGCTTATAATCTGAGCCTGCTAAAAATTGCAAGGCAAACAGACGTTGATAAAAGATGTTAAAAGGGACATGTGGAATCTAAAATTTGCATTCCACGACATGTCTTTTACAACTAAGCAGAAATCCTTAGCAAATTGTGTTTCTCGTACTCACACAGAGCATATTCGAATAAAATGTAAAAGACAGCAAATATTTGATTTCACGCAAACAACTCCTATTTATCTGTTGATACGTATTTCGACCTAATAGGTCTCATCAGAACAGTTATTCATAGGTGTTCTCAACGTGAAAAATCAATATTTTCTGTCTTTTAAAAAGCAACACTAAAATGGCTTTAATACGGACGCGATAGCGACATCTAATAATAAAATCCATAAAATAGTTTCGAAACACAATTCAGATTTTTGATTATAATCTGAGCCTTCTAAAAATTGCAAGGCAAACAGACGTTGGTAAAAGATGTTAAAAGGGACATGGGGAAACACAATTTGCTAAGGATTTCTGCTTAGTTGTAAAATACATGTCGTGGAATGCAAATTTTAGATTCCCCATGTCCCTTTTAACCTTTTTTATCAACGTCTGTTTGCCTTGCAATTTTTAGAAGATTATAGATTATAGATTTTATAGATTATAAGGAGAAATCTGAATTGTGTTTCGAAACTATTTTACGGATTTTATTTTTAGATGTCGCTTCCGTATTGAAGCCATTTTAGTGTTGCTTCTTAAAAGACAGAAAATATTCATTTTTCACGTTGAGAACACCTATGAATAACTGTTCTGATGAGACCTATTAGGTCGAAATACGTATCAACAGATACATATGAGTTGTTTTTTCATTTCACCTCCCAAGAAAATTTCCAGACGAGGATTTTACATTGTTCTAGAATGTGACAAGTTGTGGTGGGATTAGATTCAAACTTTCACTATTGTACTTATAATAACCAGACCAACCAATATTTTTTTGCATTTAAATGGTGTTTTGGACCAACCAATATTTTTTTGCATTTAAATGGTGCAAAGTTTAAAATCAGATAGGACTACTATGCACCAGCAAGCATTTCGTAGCCAAATATTATTAAAATATCAGTGGTGCAAAGTATCACTCTTCTAGGGTATACTAAGCACCACTAATAAAATTAGGATAATCTCTTAATTATGCAATATCTACGTAACGTTATATCCACTCTAAGAAAATGAAACTAAAAACTATGGTGCAAAGTAACCCTGTTTTACGGTATTCTTCTTCTTGTCTTCTTTTAAATATTGCATGTTTTTCTAATTTTTTTTTATCTTCGTCCTTTATTTCTTCTAACGTACTTTACTAAACGTACATTTAGCCTAGTGTGTCTTCAAGAATATTTAATTTTCGATATTGTTCTGAAGCTGTTTTCTTGTGGCATTTTAAATTAATTACTATTTAACTGGGAATAAGCCACAATTAAAGATAAAAATACGTTTATTGACGTTTCAATTTCCACTTCGGAAATCGTTCTCAAAATACAAACAGTCTGAACAAAATGACTGTTTGTATTTTGAGAACGATTTCCGAAGTGGAAATTGAAACGTCAATAAACGTATTTTTATCTTTAATTGTGGCTTATTCCCAGTTAAATAATAATTAATTTAATTTTCAATTTTTTAAAAATTTCAGACGAGGAATATGCTGGAAATGTTGGGGGAATTTTGAGTACTATTGATTTTTAGTACTATTGATTTTGAGTAGGTACTATTGATTTTAAGTTCTATTGTTCAAATAACATGTAAAACTGTCCTCTAAAAACTCTTTGATTTGTTAGTGAATGAATCCAATACCGATGCTTTCATCGTTTAGTTCTCGTCCGACACAAAAGAACGATTACGCAAGTACTTCGATGTCATCCATTGGAAAACTAATGTAATTCAGCGATATATAAATGGCAATGGAGGCACCATCTAAATTTTCTACGACAGCGATTTTTTTGTCGCTGCGACTAAAAATCATAAGTGCAGGGCTAGCTTTATACAGTTCCTGCAGTAAACCTCTTTATATGTGGCTTTACACTCGTATTAATCAAAATCTACGAATGATGGTCTGACAGAACTGAATCTTTTTGATTCAACTAAACCTTTTGGATAATTTTCACATTTAAATATTCCTATTACAAAAAAAATATACTTTAATTTTACTAAAAATAACCTTTGAATTTAAGGTGATATGGATGCAGCTTTCAAATCAATAAAATTAATACAGAGCAAAGGTGTTTGGCACAGTTTAGCAAAAATGTGTGTAAAAACAAAACGACTAGATGTCGCTAGTGTTTGTTTGGGGCATATGGGAAATGCTGGTGCAGCTAGAGCTTTGAGATTAGCTGTTGCTGATGATTCTCTAGAGTTAGAAGCCAAAGTTGCCTTATTAGCCGTACATCTAAATATGCCGGTAAGTTCTGAGTATTTTTAAATTATGAATACATAAAAAACCGAAAATATTAAGTAATACAAATAATTACAGTTTTAAGTGATTTTTATTGTTCAGAATTATATAATACACAACAATAAGACATAATAAATACAATTATAATAAAGAATATGCCTTTATCGAAAGATTGATCGGGTAGCTTAAGCCAGTGTTTTTGAATCAGTGAAGCTCTCGGGGGCTCGCCGGCTGAAAGAAAAAGTTGAGGTTCTTACACAAAAAAAACACGATTTTAGTGGGAAGGATATGCTTGTTTATTTTTCGAAAGTTTATCAAATTGTGGTGCTTTTTTTGAAATGTTAATAATAAAATCATTTTTTAATTTCAGTCTATTTCTCTTTTTAGTTTTAATGTCTGCAATTGAAGAAAATGACAGTTCACACAAGTATGAAGTGGCGAATTACATTAATAATTGCTTCCCTCGTCAGCTCTGGATATTCGTGTTTTCTGATCATCCAAAATACGATGACACTTTGAGAATAAAATTCCATTGTAAGCAAGCCAGCAGCAGCTAAATCTAGAAGACATTCTTTTATTTTTATTTATGATATCAACTAGATCATTGTTTTTTCCAAAAAAATGGTTTAAAGTCCATCTACGCCCATTGTCAGCTTCAGAGTGCCTGTTTGAAAAGTATGTCATAAGTTGTTCTTGTAAATTATGCAAGCTCTGTATTATGCAAGGAATTTGAGCCAAAACTGCAAAACTTTGGTCTGTTGCATTATCTTTAACAATCGTCTGAACACATAAAAAAGACTCAAACATTTGATTTTGCAGAGAGATTGACCACAAAGTGTTGTGTGAAATGCTTTTACTTTATCTTTAGCCGTTAAAATAATCTCTTCTCTTTCTTGAAGGTTCTTGTTAAAATTGTTAAGGTGACTAAAAATATCTGCCAAAAATGCTAATTTCAAGAGCCAAATAGGGTCAGAAAATGATAAGCATATTCAGTCTTGTCAATCCTTTCTTAGGATGACATCTATGTGATATAGGATATTTTGGTGAACATATATCTTCACAAACGATTCTGAATAGCTGGGTTTGCAAAACTTTACCTTTAATAGAATTCACAATTTGTATTATCTTCTTGAGCACGTCATTTAAATAAGAAGGTACTACCTTAGCATATAAAGCTTTTCGATGAAGAAAACAGTGTGTTTAGAATATGTTTGGCATTATCGATTTTAATTTTGCGATGAGTCTGCTATTTTTGCCTGTCATAGCTTTAGCGCCATCGCTACAAATAGCGTTACATTTTTCCAATCAATATTGTAGTCTCAAGTGCTTTCTAAAAACATATCGTACAAATACTGGTCAGTATTGTTTGCAGGAAGTGCTTTGCAAAATAATATTTTCTCTGTGATACTGCCATATGCTTCAAAGCGCACAAATACTACAAACTGTACACAGATGGAAACATCTGTAGATTCGTCAAACTGCAAAGCGAAATGCTGGATGTTCTTTAATTTTTCAACCACTTATTCTTAAATTACCTTGGCCATATCGTTTATTCTGCGTGAAATAGTATTGCCAGAAAGTAGTATGTTTTTAAATTTGTCTGTCTCCTGCTTACTGACCATAATTTTAACCATGACAAGTGCTGCTGGCAAAATATAATTTTCAGCAATTGTATGTCTTCTTCTTAGGATGCCTGTCCGTTCCGAACGTTGGTGATCATTCTGGCTATGATGACTTTGTTGGTCGCTATACGTTACTATACGAATTGTATGTAGTTTGGTAAAAAAAGCAATAATTAGAATAAAATCGCCTTATCGCCTTTAATAATGTTAAGCACGAGAGGCTATTGGAAATCTTGCAAAAACTAAACATTGATTATCAAAACGTTCAAATAATATCAAGATAATACGACAAACGACAAGAATAAAACTCGAATGCTTCATGTTAAAGGAAATAAATATTCGGAAGAGTGTACGACAGGGATGTATTCTCTAGCCAATGCTATTCAATTTTTTTTTATTCAGTTTAATGCGTCGACAACTAATGGTCATTGGCATGGTACAGTGAATTTTTACAGTCAGGTACCTAGTGTAGAGTGTAGTGTGTGTGTAGAGTAATTGTCTTGATACTTAGCAAAGTCGACGTCATTGTCTTTGCTAAGAGACGCTAATTGTATCCGAACGTCTGCGGTCCTTCCGGTGAGTACAGATCGCACAAGAATAGAAATTATTTTCATTTATTAATTTTTAATAAACGAAAATTTCTCCACACAGGTGAGATTCGAACTCACGACCCTTAGGTTCAAAGGTAGGCGCTCTTACCACTGAGCCACAGAGGGGGTTTGCTATTCAATTTGTACTCAAAATATATTTTTCGTGAAGCATTGGAAGATGAGTTAACTGCAATAGCGATAAATGGAGTTGTTGTTAAAACATCAGATACGCTGACGATCTGAAGAAATTCGTTTACATATTGAACTGGCACGAGCTGTGTTCGTCAAAATGGAAAAACTGTTGACAGCACTATCTATCCCTATGATACTAAAAAGCAGAAGTTATAAAATAAGTTAGTAACATACATAGGGCTTGGCTTCCTCTCTTCCAGCTGGCACTGACTTTAACTTTTTTTTAACTTAATTAAAATTCATTACTTTTTTATCTTTGTTAGCTGTCCACTATATCTCGAAATCAGACATATTCTATATTATCGATTCTCCCATTTTTTACGGGCCACATACTTAACTATGATGATTTACAAACAAGGTTCCTCACGGCCGCTCCCCCGAGAAGTGCAATCATAACAAAAATCATTATTTCGCCAGCATAAGCGGAAGTAATCTATTGTATTACTCACTGCTTTGAAAATCAACATTTTACTTTTTCCTATTATAAACAGACTTCTAAATGTTTAGATTATCAATCTTATAAATGCAAAAAGATTAAGAATCTTTTTCGGTTTTTATGATATACAGGGTGTTTTAAAAAATGCTACAATAGCATTCGATGTATCGACCCATCAGACAAATATTTGTCGATAAAACTAGTATAGTAATTTTATCTGATTGTATTAGTTTACAAAGATTTTGCTTCTTAATACTTTTCATGTTTCCAGTAATGTATATTTTAAAATATTGTTTGCCAACACAGGATGAAGCCGAACAGTTGTACATCCAATGCGGCCGTTATGATCTACAAAATAAACTCTTGCGTAGTAGAAATAAAATGGATGCAGCCCATGCGGTATCCGAGTCGAAGGATAGGATTAACCTTAGAAACACTGACCATACTTGGGCGAAGATGCTGGAACAGGCAGGAGATTTTAAAGAAGCTGCAGCTAGATACGAGAGGGCTAACACGCACCTATACGACGTTCCCAGAATGTTGAGCGATCATCCGCAACAGCTGCAAGCTTATATGAGCAAAACGAAGGATAAGTAAGTATACTATGTATAACCAAATAACAATAATATTGCAGTACTATTATATCCATACACATATAGAAGGAGATTTACTAATAAATCTCCCTTTCGACATATGTACCTCTATATGTACGTTTGGTACTCATGAATTCTTACGGGGAGAATAATATATTTATCCCAAAATAGATTATCCGTTTCCCTCTTTACAATATACTATCCGATAATATATCCTTCTTCTTCTTCTACCTTCTAGTATGTAAACTTTAAAGGATGTTTCTTCTTCAATATTAGCCTCCTGAATTGTCGCACCATCTTTTTCTTGGTCTGCCAATACTTTTTCGTCCATTTGGCGACTTATCTCGTGCTATTGGTACTATTCTATCCTCTGCCATTCTACTGATATGTTCGTTCCACTCCTGTTTTCGTTTTGTCACCCAACCATTTATGTCTTCTATATTGCATGCTCTTCTTATGTTTTCGCTTCTCTCCGTGTCCAATAGACTTCTCCCTGATATTCGTCGGAGTATTTTCATCTCTGTTGTTTCTAGCAGTCGTCTCGTTTTAGATATGTCAGGTCTTGTCTACGCATGTTAATATAGGTCTAATTGCTGCTTTATAGATTCTTGTTTTTGTGTCTTGTCTTAGGAGTTTGTTCTTCCAGATTGTGTCATTAAGAGAACCTCTCCGTAACTAGTTATATCTATTCCCAGATATTTAAACCTTGCTTCCTGCTTTATTATTTTTCCATCAATTTCGATTTTACACCGTAGTGGTTTTGTCTGCTGATCTTATCATATTGTATCTCTTAGCTGTTTTACATTGAAGATATGTGTTAATCTTTGGAGCTCGTCTTCTGTCTCGGCGATTAATACATCGTCGTCTGCATAACATAATATTTGGATTTCTTTGTTCCCCATTCTGTAGCCATGACCTCTACGTACTGCTTGTATTATTTCGTCCATTATTATATTAAAGAGAAGTGGGCTCAACGAGTCACCCTGTCTGACTCCGCTTTGTACTGGTATACACTGTGTTAGTTTTCCATTTATCTTTGCCTGGTCTTTTGTCAGGACCTGGACCTTTGTCAGGTCTATAAAACATTGAGGAATGAGGAATGAACAGAGATACGGCTTGTTGCAATTCATTCTTCAGGGCAAGGTATTTGGAAAGAGAGGACCAGGTAGAAGAATATCTTGGCTTCAAAACCTGAGAAAGTGGTTTAATACATCGACAAAGAACAGCCATGTTGATCGCCAACATCCGAAACGGATAGGCACCGTAAGAAGAAGAAGAATAAAACATAGATATTGTTGGGAATTTATCTGTATTGAACAGACAGCAATTGACGGATTTGTAGTTATCTGTTTTATTTGCGTAAAAACAACTCAAATTCCTACAATATATAAAATTAACAATATAAAAAAAAACTAATTAATTCCCATTACTTACTGTTCTCTTGCTGTCTGCTAAATTCTTAAATTATTTAAATTTTTCCCTGGGTGACAGTTTTTTTTGACGTTTTTTATATTATATTTGACATAATTTATGGAACAGTAGCAACGGGAAATTTTATGTAACATGATAAAACTAAAATTGAACTAAATACATTTTATACAAATAATAAATATTCGTAACACTCCCACCCGGTACAGTTCGATGCGAAAAAGAGACTGTACCACTTATCTTTCATCATCTTTTTGGTCTCCATTTATTGGTATTACCGCTAATTTTATAACAGGACGTTCATATATTCCACTTTTTGTTTGAACTATTGCTCGTCGCACTTGCCCATCAGGTGATTTTTTAACTTCAATTACCTTACCCTTTGGCCAATTGCATCTTGGTAAATCTTTATCACATATAATTACAATATCGCCCTCTTTAATTGGTACAACTTGTTTATGCCATTTTGCCCTAAGTAGTAGTTTAGGTATGTATTCAGAAATAAAGCGTCGCCACATTTATTTGCAAATTGCTCTCTGTATAAATAATTTAACTGAAATACTTTAATGTCTTCGTTTAAAAATCCAATTGGTTTATCTCCGTTTGAAGATCCAATTAAAAAATGATTTGGAGTTAAAAATTCAGATTCTTCAGATTCTATTGGAAGATAAGTAAGTGGTCTTGAATTTACTATGTTTTCTGCAGCTACGAGACAACTACAAAGTAATTGGTCAGTAGGGTTCCTGGTTGGTAATGAATCATATAACGAAATTTTAACCGCTTTTACTAGGCGCTCCCAGGCCCCACCGATATGTGGGGAAAGGGGTGCGCTGAAGTGAAATTTTAACTCTGGGCTAATCAGTGAATTGGCTATTAATTTACTGTCAACCTTTTGCAGTTCTTCTCTCAATACTCGTTCAGCTGCAATAAAATTCGTACCTCGATCACAATAAATATGCCTTGGTCGTCCTCTTCTGTTAATAAAATTTATCAAGCATAGTATAAAACTGTCCACATCTAGTTTGTAAGCTACTTCGAGATGGACTGCTCTAGTCGTGAGACACGTAAATAAAGCTCCCCATCTTTTCTCTGTCCGTCTTCCAACAGTAACGTTTATTGGAGCAAAATAATCCATACCAGTGTGTGTAAACGGAGCAGTAAATGTTGCAAGTCTTACATGGCGGTAGAGGTGACATTTCTGGTGGTTTTGGCTTAGCAAATTTGACCTGGCAGTTTTGACAATTGGTCCTAATCTTATTAACTAGTTTTGGTATATAAAATTTTTGTCTTATCTCATTTACTACAATTTCATGATTTCTATGGTGATATCTTTTGTGATAGTCTTCAACAACTAGCAAAGTTAAACGACTTTCTCTCGGTAAAATTATTGGCCTTTTTGTTTCTAAAGTAATATCTCTAGCTTTATCTAGTCTTCCTCTTACACAAGCACTTGCGTGTTCGCTGGCATCTACAAATATGTGCATTTGCGTATTGGTATCCTTCCAGTTTTCGAGTTTATTAAAAAAGTACCTTGGAATTGAAACCTTCTCTATTTCTGGAAGCTGTTTCAACCAAACAAGCCATTTTTGAAACTGTTCATTAGTTATTGGTTGATCCCAAGAAATGTTACTCCTCCATATTTCCTGTAAAAGGATCTTCACATAAATCAAAAAGTTTGCTAACAAACCTAAAGGGTCATATATAGACATTAAGATTTGTAAAATTTCTCGCTTTGTTGGCTTTCTTAATCCACTTAAAACATCTTTGTTTCCTTTATTACATTTTAAATTGAAAATAAAATTATCTCCCTTTAAATCCCACCACATTCCTAGAACCTTCTCCATGCTCTTATTGTTCCCTAGATCTAGGTTGACTTCTTCGTTATTTCCGTGAGTGGTGTTCATGATTTTCATTAATTTTTCAGAGTTTGATCTCCAGTTTCTTATTTCAAAATTTCCGCTGGCGTGAATTAATGCAATTTCTTTTGCTAATTGGATAGCTTCATCCTCAGTGTCTGTTAATTCTAAGAGATCATCGACATAATTATTATTTACTATGGAATCAACAGTTCTAGGATATTCTACACTAAATTTCTTCGCATTAGCGTTTTTAACAAATTGTGCACAACTGGGTGAGCAGGTAGCTCCGAAGGTCATCACAGTCATGACGTAAACTTCCAAAGGATTATCAGAGCTACCATTTCGCCACAAGAATCGTTGTGCATGTTGATCTTCTTCTATTATACCTACACGAAGAAACATTTCCTTGATGTCTCCAGAAAAGCCAATCTTTCTTTCACGAAATCGTAGGAGGACGCCTAATAGAGAAGCAAGTTGGTCATCTCCTTTTAATAACATGGAATTTAAGGATATTCCCTGTATGGTTGCTGCTGCATCCCAAACTAATCTGAATTTGTCAGGTTTGTTAGGATTAAAGGCCGGAAATATGGGAAGATACCATGTTTTTTCTTGATGCTGTAAGAGTTCTTGTTCTGACAGTTTTCTAATATATTCCTTTTCTAGAAAATCTTGAATTTGTTGATTAATTTTGATACCTAGTTTTGGATTTTTCTTAATTTTTCTCTCTATACACTCCAGTCTTTGAATAGCCATGGGTTTACTATTAGGGATTTTCAAGTTGTCATATTTCCAGAGTAATCCAATTTTATATTGGTTATCAATTTGAACTAGGGTGCTTTCTTGTATACGAATAGCCCTATCTAATTCTTTGGAAACAGACGGTTTAATATTTTGAACTCCGAGGCTTTCAACTGAAAAGAAGTCTTTTACAGTATTAAAGAGTTCTTGGTTAGTAATGCTTTCAGAACTACATTCGCAAATGTGGTAAGTGTAGTCTACTTCATTATTTGAAAACATTGTAAAGATAGTCCAACCTAACCTGGACTTTGCAGCTATCGGTTGAAGTTATAGACCTTCTTTCACTCGAAGTGGTAACGCTAAGTCCCAGTTATCTAAGCCTATCAAGATCTGAGGAACAGCGTTCTTATATGATTTGAAAGACAAGTTTTTTAAATAGGGAAAGCTTTCTTTAATTGCCTTTGCGTCGAGAGTTTGTTTTGGAAGGCCTAATTTTCTTACTGTTCTGGCTGGTCGGTGGTCAAATTCTTTGGCCCCATTATAATCACCAGAAATAGAAAAGAATACTTTTTCTGACGCATCTTCTAAGCGTTGTTGGTTTCCAGTCCATTTTAAGCAAAGTTGTTCTGGCTCTCCCATTATATTTAGCTTTTTAGCAATACTTTCTTCTAACAAAGTAACGGAAGACCCTTCATCTAGAAAGGCAAATGTAGTGACCTGCCTACTTCCATTTCTTAAAACAACGGGAAGTATTCGAAAGCGTGTTCCTTGATGTGCCTCATTTTCTTCATCTGCAGATAAGAGGTGTGATTCTACTGTTTGCATACCGTTTTCCTTTTTAATAAGCTTTGTACTTTTATTAGATACTTGTTCTGAAAATTCATGAAGAAGAGGATGATGCTTCCTTTGGCATTCTTCTTTGTTGCATTTTACAGGATACTTACAGGGAAATCTGTGTTTCTTTAAGCAAAGCCT